TTGGGACGATGACCTTTCACTCTGACATTTTGGGATGCTAGATAGATCTCCCGTTTGTGAGATGATTCTTTTGGACGATTCTTTTTTGAGATATCGGTGGTAGATCTTTTGATGATTTGTATTTTAGCTTTCCGTAACTCTCACTTGATGTATACATGCATGCATACATGCATGTATGTGGATTTCGTTCAATGTATATATTCTACTGCGTTGTTTTGAATGAATAGCGATTTTATTTTCCGTGAAATTAAAATTTTACAATAGTGATTTATTCAACCCATAATTCACCGTAATATTATTTTGTCTCTGTCGGTCATTTCATTTCAAACCAGGAAGAATTTATTTGTTTTATATCACCCATATATGTGATTGTTGCGATAGTGATTGTGAGTACGAGGTTTGTAAAGAATGAGGATACATAGAGCATTGGGATGACGTCTTACCCAAGATACATCCGATGTTGGTGCAAAACAATAATGCACATAATATTGAATTTAAGTGTTTTTCTCTTAGAAAATTTTATTTAGAGCGATATTGATGCTTTGACTAATTATCCCCACAGTTTATGAGCAATTTTCTTCTGTTTGAAGAAATCACTGAAACTAACCAACTCAAAACAAAATCGTATTATGTGGGTGTACACAAAAATAATAATAATTCATATGCATGACGCGTGTTATTCATGTCGTTAATTGTACATGAATCCAATATGATCTCTTTATTAATTAATTTTTATTTTATCTTTATATTCAATAATTTATCATGATTTGAAATACATATTAATTCTTAAACTTTAAATGATAAAAAACTTAAAAAACAATGAATTTATATATTTTTAATACGAAAATGGATATTAATAGAATCGAGATAAAAAAAATGATATAAAATAAAACATATATAATTTTCAAAATTAAAAGAATTAAATAAAATGTAATAAAAAAGAATATAAGACAAATTCGAAATACTCACTAATAATTATTAGATTTATATAAAAAGTTATTATATCATATGAATTATGAACACATAACCAAATACATAAGAATTAAGCCCGCATACTTGAAAACATAAAAACATAACTGAAAAAATACATAAAAACACAAACAACACAACACAGTTTCTACCAAAAAAAAAAAGAAGAAAAAAGAACACATGACATAGAAGTACTTTGTACCAAAGCCAAACACTATAAAATATATTACCACTAATTTTATATAGAACTCAAAAATTGTTAACATAATTAAAAAACAAAAATAAGTCAATTACAATTACTATATACAGAGTTGTAACTTGTATACATAAAACCTAAAGCAAGTTTGGTGTGAAGATGATGATGATTCAACAAAAAGCCATAGAAGATAGGAAAGGGAATAATAAATCACGTCATATGGGATCGATCAATTAGGTCCATCGTTTTCATGAACAGGAGCAGGAAAACTATGAAATGAAATTGCAAAGCATGGGGTAGTCAGGTTGTGTGTATGTATGTGTGTAAGGTTTGAGACGTTGTTGTTCCCAGGATGTGATCCGAGGATGAACCGTTGTTCCTATTGAGAAATCGGATTATAGACTTGAGTAAGGTTTGGCAAGACAATGGATCAGGCATGAGAATCTGTTTATGAGCAGCAGAGTAGGAATCATTTAGACCATAAAAATCTTCACCACATTACGCATTTCAAAGAGCTGTTGTTGGATATTATAAACCTTCGAAACATTCTTCTGTTTATAACATTGTTCTAAATAGCGCCAAATTTTATCAGCTTCATCCAGACAAATAATCTGAGAATGGATTTCAGGACTTACAGAATTATTGATACAAGTGCAAACCGCATCATTACAACGAGACCAAGCACCATAATCACTATGATGTAGATCCGGTTTTACCATTGTGCCAAAGACAAATCCTAACTTGTTCTTCATATTCAACGTTTAATTTAACCACAACTCGAGACCAAACAATGTAGTTTAACTGATCTTGAAACTTGAACCAGCGAGAGACTTGAAGAATCAGTTGCGTGTAGAAAAAATGGACAAAAATATGGATCTGAATTATTCGGAATGGGAAAAGTTGAGTTAGAACCATGAATATCGGCATGATCGAATCACATGAAATCGAAATCAAGGAAGAAATTAATGAAAGAAAAGCAATAGAACAACGAAGCTAATATCGCTCTGATATCATATCAAAATGTAGAAATCGAAATTAAAAACAAATTGATGAAAGAAGTTTCATCAATATGTGAGAGAAAAAGTTGTGGGAATTTTCTAATCTTTTCATTCTAAATTAAAAAATGAAACAGAGTTCAACTTATACAAGCCAAAATAAAGAAAGCGGGAGAAGAAAAATTCAAATAGTAAACCGAAACAATCAACAAACCAAAGCTAAACCAGCCAAACCAAAATCTGAGAAAATACTCTCTAATAACAAGAGTAAGTAATGAGGGCATCTCAGTCAAATCATGTTGACCCATCAACTGGTCCTTCATATCTAATGTAATGTTGGGACAAGACCGAGACACAACGGTCAGTCTTTCTGTGTAGGCCCTGATCTACAACTTTCTCGGACATTTTGGATAAAACCCACATGGCCTTTTTGTGGATACGGTTCAGAGCTTTTGCTCCTGCTGCATCTGTCACATTTGTAATAGATATTGCCTTTCTATGGCCAGCACGACTTGTTGATATATTGGAGATAAGCATGTGAACTTTGAATGTGAATTTACAAATACATATATATATATTTAGTAATCGAATCTTATAGTTCATATCATATAGGGGCATCCAGACTAATTGCATCAAGCAAGCAAATAATCCAATCAACTGATCTATTCCTTTTATTATTCGGTTATTTTTATTTTGAAATTTCGATTTTCATGGTTTTGTTTTCTTTGCATCCTATTGTACAAACTGATGGCTATACGATCAATACGTATATGAACGCTAGCGGTTATGCTTCCATTGCATAAACATAAAGAGAAAAGTCGAATGCGACTGAAAATAACATTTATATTCAGCGTCGGATATGATTTTATTTCTATCCGAATAATTTCAAACACCACAAATAACCAGAGACAAAATTATCCAACTATGGTCAAGGTATCCATCTAATTCCTTGTCTAATCCCACCAATAACCGACAAACTTTTAACACTTGATAACGCATATACCCACCACCTCTAAGGGCTAATGAAAACGACGTTTCACGTATGTTCCCATTGACGTTTTTCAATCAAACCAACCGGATTTAATTGTATATTTCACGAGTGTATATATATCAAGCTAAATATTACGACCGTATGACTAAAATCAAAATGTAATAATTAATCATATAACACAAGTAAAAATGAAAATGCGAGGAGAGAGTTACACAAATACACGCCTTTGTGTAGTGGCTGCATGCATATATATAGGCGAATGAAAATGACGTTGAGGAAAAAAATGCATGAAAGAGGCCTTAAACGTCGGGGCCTTGCATGTGCTCGTAACATGGTAGGTCCATATATATATATCCTAAGTCTCTTTTACGTGCTTATATACATATATATATATATATATATTGTTATATTCGATAACGACCACATTGTAATCCTCCACGAATTTAATATACTAATATACATATAATAGACAATATGAAAAATCATTGGTCCATCATTGGAGTTTCGATGATTCTCTCTCCTTCTCCGGAATCATGCACATGTTGCCGACATTTTCTCACGATTCGACCTTAATTTACTCATCTTAATTTATGCAATTTCAATTTTACCGTTATATTCCGTTATAGTACGTCCAATTATTTCACTGGCGTATTTCTATATGCGTGATTTTCACAATGCAAATTCGATTATTTGTGATGAAAAATTTTGCAATGAAAATGGGAGTTGAAAAATTTTCGTTATCATTTAGCGACGATAAGACAAATAAAGCTGAAACATGTATATGCATGCTAACGAATTTTTAAAATATGTAAATTGGATATAGGAAAAGTGTTCAAAGGGTGCAGTCCAAGAAAGTAATGTCTTAATGCAAATACAGATACATGTATATGCATGCGAATATATATGATGTAAAATTGTGTAATATCAATTAAATACAATATGTATGCCTATAAAGCCTTTATTGATGAACTACCAAATTTCCTATGATACGGTTATTCGACTGTCTTTATACGACAGAATCGTATCTTAACCAATGTATATTTTATACACCATTAAATAAAAACAATAATAATATAAAAACTATTTTTTTTCTTGAACTTCCACATATTATCTTATGTACTGGTAATTAGAAGTACCTACCACATGCATTATCTAGTGGATATGGAAGAATATAATATTGGTTCAAGTTCGTTTTTTTGTGCGTGTGAATGAAACCGGAAATTTTCTAGTTATATAGATGATTAAACAAATATCTATTATTCACGAATATCGAGATTGATTCAGAAATTTCCATGTGTATGTATGTATGTATAGTTTCATAAGCATAGACATACATATATGCGTATATATATTATACAAAATATGCAGAGAGTTTGGGAGGAATGTGAAAGAAGAAAAGACAAACCCACGTTACATGCACACGTAAGGTTGCACAATGCATAGACAAATAATTTAAGACGCGGTCGAATAAATATAAAATGTGAGAGAAAGCGGTTACACGAAATAACTTGTATAAAGAAGAAGCATGTGAAGATTGGGGCCACCATAGATTAGCAGTTGCGTTCTAAACCACAACATTTGCATGTGGCCAACCTTCAACCGTTACATCCATTATATACATATATATGTATATATATATCACATTGTTTTCTATTAATTTATATAAGATATTGGTAATAAAATATAAAAGAAAAAGTATCAAATAGAGTTTTTGTGTGTATGTACCTGTAATAATATATATATTTTATATATGTCAATATATAGATAGTAGTCAAATATATGTAAATTGGAAAATACTATAATACTCGTCTCTTTCCTTTCCCCTATATGTATATATATAGCCGAACTCTCTCCTTTTGATTCCTCAAACCACCATTCTTCACACACACACACACAGATCAGAGATAAGAAACAAAACCCTAATCTCTGAAAATGTATATTCCATCAAGAATCAAAGTCTCTCTCATCATCTCCTTACTTGGTTCATTACTCCTACGCGAAACTTACGCAGACTACGGAGGCTGGCAAGGCGGCCACGCCACTTTCTACGGCGGAGGCGACGCTTCTGGCACCATGGGTAAGTCCACACGTGTCATCATAGACATATGATCGTCCAGTGGCAAGACGACAAGTGGCGTATGAAATGGGTGGGTCGGTTCTTGCTTGCAGGTGGCGCGTGCGGGTACGGAAACTTGTACAGCCAAGGGTACGGAACGAGCACGGCGGCGCTGAGCACGGCTCTGTTCAACAACGGTCTGACTTGTGGGGCGTGCTACGAGCTCAGGTGCGACAACGACCAGAGATGGTGCCTGTCCGGGACGATCACGGTTACGGCCACTAACTTCTGTCCACCGAACTTCGGCTTGGCCAACGACAATGGCGGTTGGTGCAACCCTCCTCTAGAGCATTTCGATCTCGCTGAACCCGCTTTCCTCCAGATCGCCCAATACCGTGCTGGTATTGTCCCCGTCTCCTTCAGAAGGTAACACATATATACACGTCCACCACGAGACTTTTCAAAGCTTCAATATGCAATATATACCGTAATGAATTGAGATACAACATTGACATATAACGATATGATATATTGCCTGTAATTAGAGGGTATAATTTGCTGGATTAATCTTGTAATAAAATGGACCGTTTCATTTTTTATTTTATTTGGATTATATTTATTTGGTCAATGCTGGACCCATTCTTGAGCGTGACATTTGAAGCTCGGAAGCAACGGTCCATTTCATTACAAGATTAATCCAACATAATTATATGGATAGACATTAATGAAGAGGGTATTCATAATATAATGTAATATGATATAATATCTGTGAGGATTCTAATAGACTAACATGTCCAAATTTTAAGCCACTCGAAACCTATATAGAATCTGATATTTTTTTTTTGGGTTTGGTTGATGTAATAACGTACGTACCAGGGTACCATGCATGAAGAAAGGAGGGATAAGGTTCACGATAAACGGACACTCGTACTTCAACCTGGTGCTGATAACGAACGTGGCTGGAGCGGGGGACGTGCACGCGGTTTCGATAAAAGGGTCGAACACAGGATGGCAAGCCATGTCGAGGAACTGGGGACAGAACTGGCAGAGCAACTCCTACCTCAACGGCCAAAGCCTCTCTTTTCAGGTCACCACCAGCGACGGCCGTACAGTCACTTCCAACAACGTCGCTCCGTCCGGGTGGCAGTTCGGACAGACCTTCCAAGGCGGACAGTTCTGACAAATTTCTGACACAAAACCAGATTTGTTCGAAGAAGAATTGTTGTTTTTTAAGAGGTCGAGGTTGGGGGAATGGTAATAATGGGAGGTGGGGTTGTATGACGTGGCTGCGTGATGCTGAGGTGGCTCATAGGCGCCCGCTAGGTAGGCCTTGGTTTGGTTGTTTCACTTAATTCGAGTGTGTATTTGATCCAATTTGCTTAAACTTCACCTCATAATATAATTATTTTTTCCCTCTTCAAAGATAATGAAGGTTTTCTTTTTGTTTACTTTATTTTATCATGTAGATTTATTTTCATTCTAAAAAGTTATATATAAATGCCCAAATTTGTTATTAACTCTCGTATTAATACACAAATTTTAAAATTCTAAAAAATTCATGATTTTTTCTTATCTCCTAACTAAAATTACTAATTTTATTAAAACTGTAAAGATCAGTGGATCAAGTTCTGTAGATAACGACGTTATTTACAAGAATAACATTCTAAAAAATACACGGAATTATATAAAAGATTTTATAAAATTACATGTCAGATAAAATCGGCTTCAAATATCGTCTAGTCATTTGAAAGTTTTTTTTATAAAATTTATAGTTAATTGGAAATCGAAAAAAAAATGTCTTTTGTTTAGAATTTTTAAGTTTATGAATTGGTAACAACAAATTTTTCTTCAAACCCAATGATTTTTTTATTAATAGGCTTTGATAGATTTTAAAGCCCCATGATTGGCCCATTACGGATTGAGATCCAATATAACCCGTCGATGATTTTTGGTTTGTACCTAAACCGGGAAAAATAAAATAAAATAAAACTTTCCGGTAATTCCGAAAAAACCGACGGCCGAGTCAGACTTTTGACTTCCACGCCAACGCGAGGGTCTCTTTCTCTCTCCGATATCCTTTCCGCCGCACCGCCAAACCGTCTCCGCCGCTGTTTCCTCTTCCTCCGGTGGCAGCGTCAGGATGCGATTTCTCGACAGTGTCCTCCTTCGTCTCCGTAACTTTCTTAGTTGCGCCTCTCCCTCTGCTGTTTCCTCTCGGCCGACGGGTCCCGGCGACGCGGCTTTGTCATCCATTGGTTCCGGCGGAGAAGATGCTGTTTACAGGTTGTCTGATTCCATCCTTCTTAAGATCCTTAAAGGAGATATCACCCAGTGGTCCGTCGATGGCTCCTCCGATGCTATTGTTAGTCTCTCTCTCCCGCTCGATCAATTCTATTTCTAGGCCTGATGTTCTTGTTCTTTTTCCACGATAGAAGCGTGGATTTGGAAGTTGGCGATGAAAGTGAAAATATGGCTCTGTCTTAGTGCCCGTTAAACCCCTAAGTCAATTCACATACACCGAGGAGCTGATGCCATCACTGCATCAATGCCATTGCCATGACTTTAACAATTCGTTTCTTTTACCAGGTTAATCCAGCAAATGAGCGTATGCTCGGTGGTGGTGGTGCAGATGGAGGTACTTTCTCGAGATGTTTCCATCGTTTTTTCTCTAAAACCCTTTTCACATTTTGATCATGCGATGAACATTTCGACTGGTTCAACTGCGATCTCACTTGGCGCTTGGCAGCCATACACGATGCTGCTGGGCCGCAGCTGAGAGCGGCGTGCTATGAGGTCCCAGAAGTTAGTCCCGGAGTCCGTTGCCCTACCGGAGAAGCAAGAATCACCCAGTAGGTTCTTCTCTTCACCAATCTTGAATAATGTTCTGAACTTTCCGGAGTTGAGATTGTTGATGAATGTTCCACTGAGCAGGGGTTTCCATTTACCCGCATCTCATGTGATTCACACGGTCGGGCCTATATATGATTCAGACAGTAACCCCAAAGAATCCCTCTCCAATGCGTACAAGTAAGCAAGAACGTAGTTCTGTCTGATATCACCAGTTGCTTTGTCTGATATGTTCTGATCTATCAATGTATTTCCCGGGTTCTTGCCTCGAACATGTCCGAAAACTTCCGTTCATCCGAGAATTTTCTCCGACCATGACCCTCTACTCCGCCTCTACAGTTGACTCGGACAGAGTCAGAATACAGAAGCTCGAATTTCTCCTCGGTTTCATCGTCTAACGCCTGTGTGAGCTCCCGAATATCCTCCCAATTGTTGTATATACTCTCGTTTGATGCCAAGAGGGATATTTCAAATGGATCAATGTCTCGGAACTCGGGAAGAGTTATCTTTTCTGTTTAACAGCCTGCCCACCCTGGAAACGGCTCAGCCGGAGGTAGGGTCCAGCGGCTGGAAGAGCACCGCACGTTGCGTGGTGTCCGATGCGCTCCCGGCGGCCCTTGAAAATCCGGAGGACCGACGGACTATGAAAACGCGTGGCCACGCTATAGATGAAGTTGCATCTATTTTATTAGTCGATTTGCCAAGACGAGAAAGCAGTTGAAACACCCTCAATGAGTTTCTAAGTGAGCTAGGATCCATATTTCACATGTTTTTTGAGCGTCACCGTTGAAGTACTTTCTCAATGTACTTCTCTTCCGACAGATACAACAACTTGTTCTCATTTGACCGCTTGGGAACCGATCTCCATTTCTTCGTTCCCTGCGAACTTAGTAGTGTGGATGGTTGACTGACCACTAACCTTTTACCAATGAAGACAGAAAACTTGTTTGTAATTTCTAACCGGAAAACTAGATTCCAACTAGAGGAGGTTATCTGTACTTCGTTACGTTCATTGATGATTTCAGTCGATACGGTTATGACTATTTGATGAGACATAAGTCTGAAACACTGAGAGTGGCCAAGGAGAACAACATCAAGTACATTGCATTTCCTGCCATATCTTGTGGTGTTTTCGGGTAAAGTCATCACAAGCGACTTGTGGAAGAGGCAAGATTCTTTAAAATTGCATCACATAGGACGCATTTTGTTAAAATTTTGTTTCTGTAAATTGCTGTTAGGTACCCTTTCGATGAAGCAGCTTCAGTAGCTATCTCCACCGTTAAACGGTTCGCCAACGACCTGAAAGAGGCAAGATTCTTCAACTAGCTTGCACTTGTTTCACTTTTCCACGAACACGAATGGACCTATACAGCTATACTCTTACTCTGATTGAACTTGACCCATGTGACTGTTGAGATTGGAGAGCGGTTTGTCCTAAATTTCTAGGCGGGTTGATCATGGCAACTGACAATCTCGGATCTTTTTGTTAATCTTGTCAGGTTCACTTTGTTCTTTTCTCGGATGACACATACAACGTGTGGATAAACAAGGCAAAGGAGATGCTACAACGTTAAGACTCTTCTGGGAGCTAAGTACAAGTAATCTCAAGTCCAAACTCTACTTAGCTGCCTGTATGGATCATTGCCCTACTACGTTCCTTGATTAGCCTGTAATAAATGGTGACATTCGACGTGGGTGTTTGCAATAGGATAATCTTGGTTATGTGATTTTCGATTATCATTGTCGAGCAAGCGGCTCTTTCCCCTTCATTCTCTCCTCGGTAAACGAGGGATCAATGTTCATGGACTTACCGCAGAACTATTCACCAATCACTGTGTTGTTGTTTCTAGACGAAGTGAGAAAAAGGAAAACTTCAAAAGCTCTATCCGCTTGGTGACATTGGTGAGTAATTACCCTTTGACAAAAGTGAGAGAATCAGACACGAATCGAGCAACTGGGCAAACGCGTAAAGGCCCAGGGACAAGCCAAGTGGACATGTCTGAGCTGACGTGGCGCAATATCCTCTTATATCTCAGTTGCCACCAATTTGTAAGCAAGCCTCTTGCCTCTTTATATAAACGAATATGCATTTCTTATCCATTTTCTCAGTTCTGTTTTTTCTCGTCTTAACAGGAGACGCCATGGATCCCAATCTGCAGTCCCTGAAGACGGCGGTTCTGCCGGAGCTTCCGTATCCGTACAACGCATTGGAGCCGGCCATAAGCGAGGAGATCATGCGGCTTCATCACTCCAAGCATCACCAGACTTACGTCAATGAGTACAACAAGGCTCTTGAGAAGCTTCGATGCGCCATGGAAGAGGGTGATCACTCCTCCGTTGTCAAGCTCCATGGCCTCATCAAGTTCAATGGCGGAGGTTTGTTCTCTGATCTTATATTGCTTGTTCGACAAGAAATCTCCCTGTGTCGTATTCATCTGCTGCTGCTGTTTGTATCAGAAAGATGCCATCTTTTGTTGCAGGTCATATCAACCACGCCATCTTCTGGAAGAATCTTGCCCCTGTTCGTGTACGTGGTCTTTGTTATCGATCAACATCTCTTTCATGAGCTCGTTTTCTGATTCCTGACATAAGTTCGAGGCAATTTGTGTCTGAAACGCGCAGGAAGGAGGAGGGCAGCCTCCGACCGATCCTTTGTCTTCGTCCATAGACACCCACTTCGGATCTCTAGAAGCACTGATGCAAAAGATGAACGCTGAAGGCATTGCCTTGCAGGGATCTGGGTGGGTGGTAAGCATCCACCACCACCTCCCCTTTTGCATGAAACTGTTTCTTTATTGCGAATTCGTAAAATCATATCCATATTTTGTTTTGTTGTGATATGGTAAGTGGTTTGGGTTGGACAAGGAGCTGAAGACGCTCGTCATCGAGACTACGGCCAATCAGGTAAAGATAGATTCGAACAAGTTATGTCCTGTCCGCTCAGACTGAACAAGACTCTTGACCTTAAGATCGACGTTTCGTAGGATCCTCTGGTAACGAAAGGATCGAACTTGGTTCCACTGATCGGGATAGACGTATGGGAGCACGCGTATTACCCGCAGGTACGTATTCGTATACCGTATAAGAGTATAAAAGGAACAAATCTCAAGACAAAAAAAGAAGAAGAAAACATTCAGTTGTTAGTATCAGGACAGGTAAGTGACATTAGTTGCAATCTCATCTTGTTCATGTGTGTCGTGGACGGAGCAGTACAAGAACGCGAGGGCGGAGTATCTGAAGAACATATGGAGTGTCATCAACTGGAAATACGCGGCCGAGGTTTACGAGAGGGAGTTTGGGCTCTAATCACTTATTTAGCTTTAATTATGTTAATTATGGTTCTTGTCTGTGTAATTATGTGTAAAGCGGCTAAGGGTGTTCGTAATCTTGTTGTGGATGTAATAAAACTTGGTGAAATAAAATCCTTAGTTTTTTTAATGCATCACAAACCAACGTTCACGAATCTGATTGGGTATGTCTCTTGCATTATTTTTTATTCGAATAATTGACCTTGTATGACAATTATATATAAAATAAAATCTATATAAAATTAGGGTTGGACCTCGACATTGAATTTTTCATATTATATTTAACCATTCGAAGTTCAGTATTCGGTTTATTAGATTATTTGAATATTCGAAGTTTGAGCATTTGATTTTGGTTTTATCGATTGGCGATTGGTTATGTTTCTGGATTATAATTTATAGTTGTGAAGAATTACTTGTTATTTTTTTTTCTTTTTTGCAATGAATACATTTTTATTGTAATTCGAAGATAATTAATAATTTCCAATAAAAAAAACACACTGAAAATAAAATTTCCGAAAAAACGCACTTATAATCACAACTGCCTGTCATTCTGGGAAACCCTAGTTTGCTTTTATTGTTTGCATTCTCAGCAGAACTGTACACGGGAAACCCTAGTTTGCAGACTTTGGCCAACCATGGTGAGATTCGGAGGCAAACCCTACCCTTTCGATCGCTTCTGCGGAATCCGATCTTCTTAATCGTGGTTTGTACTCTGTGCGAATCGTGTTTGTAGACTTTCAAGCGCAGGAACGGTGGCAGGAACAAGCACAACAGGGGGCATGTCAATTTCATCCGCTGCTCCAACTGCGGCAAGTGCTGCCCTAAGGTACGATGTCCTCCTGTGGTTGGTCATCCTCGTAATTAGATCTGCCTCGAACGATATGATACAATGTTGAAATCGGTTTGTAGGATAAGGCAGTTAAGAGATTTATCGTGAGGAACATTGTCGAGCAAGCGGCTATTAGGGATGTTCAGGAAGCCAGTGTCTACGATGGTATAAACGCTTTTCTTTTCGGTGTTGATTTTGTAGCTTTGTAGATCGGATTTTGGTTTCTGTCTTGGTTGATGGTTTACTGTCAAATTCGTTTGCGTACTACTCAGGCTACACACTGCCGAAGCTATATGCCAAGATGCAATACTGTATCTCGTGCGCCATCCACTCTCACGTTGTGAGGGTCAGGTCCCGCACCGACCGCAGGGTCCGTACCCCACCTCAGCGCTTTGCCAGACGCAGGGTAAATCTCTTAATCTGTCTGCTCTGATATTTCTTATACGTACAAGGGTGCTTTATTTGACTGCCTAGGATCGTCATGTGATGATGTGTTTATTGATGCTCTTTGCCTTTGATGCCCACGATCATAAGGGTTTTGGATTAGGCTACCTTTGTGATCTGACTTATGCATGATATACCGGGTCATGTGAAGTTGTTTGGATCATGCTCACAATGGCATGTTCGAGTTTTGGATGCCACCTTTGCTCGTGTTAGTCTAGGTTCATCTGTCAAAGTTTTTGGTTGTGTATCATGTTTCAAAATTTTCCCTTTTGTTTGGTCTCTTTGTTCAGCTCCTCACTTGCAGTAGTGTTCCGTCATCTTGTTTGGACTTCATTTGGCTTCTTATGCATTGGTATGCTGGGTCATGTGAATTTTTTTTTAATTCCCACATCTTAAATTGCTCTGGTCTTGCTCATAATGGCTTGTTGGTCATGCCTTCTGCTGTTCGTGTTTTGTATGCCAAGTTTCTTTGTTTAGATTCCCACTTGCAGAGCCTTGAGTAGTGTTCTATCATCGTTGGACTTCATTAGGGTTTCTTGTATATGGTTTCGCAGTCAAGTAGCTGAATGGTTTCGATCCTATAAAATGTTTCAGGACGACATGCCCAAGCCAGGGCAACCGGGGCAGGCTCCCCGTGTCCCGGGAGCTGGAGCTGCACCCCGTACCTGAACCCTACACAGTCTCCTTCACCAATCCGAATCCATGTTTTGTAGTTTCTTTTCGGATGCTTTTAAAGCTGTGATATTTCTACCCCCGAACTTAAAATGCCGTGACAGGGATACTATGCACCATCCAGCCAGTTCCTGTTTCCGACAGAAGAAGTGTTGTCAAGTAATCAAATTTTGTCCGGAATCTAATTAAAAGTCACCATAGAACTAAGGGTTAGAACTTCAGTATTTCAATAGACATTTTTTGCTCTCCATTTTTATTTAATTTTTATCGCCTGAGTTTGGGGCATTGTCGGAACCAAGTATCCTGACTTGCCCTGATAATGTGTTTCCGTATCTTGTCTATTTCGATTTATAGAGTACATAGTTCACGTATATAACCACAGAATGATTTTATATTATTATGGTTGGCAACTTTTTTTCTTCTAAATTCACGGTATTCATGTTGGTTTTAATTGAAATTATTCCTGAAAATATCATAAGATAAAAATAATTAACTATGATTTTATGAACATCAAACGCAACGGAAGAGATGGTGAAATATCAAATGACCAATCTCTCCGTGTGTGAAATATTATTAATAAAAAAATAAAGTATTTTTTAATTTCCATTGATATAAATATGATACCGTGGAATGAAATAATATGATTCCGATTATATTTACATACAAGGAAGGGGGTAAATGTTATGTAATGTGTCTCAAACCCAAACTTTTAAACCAAATCCAAAACGTCCGGGCCGGGCCGGGCCGGGCCGATCCATACCCATTTAAATTTCCGCCCCCAAACTAAAACCCTTCAAGCCTAGGTCACTTTCTCGCCTCCTTCCTCGTCGGTGATTTTGGTGTAAACGAAAAAATCCTAGTTTGCAGCGGCAATCATGGTGAGTTCCGGCGTCAAACCATGCTTTGGAGCGCTTCCGATGTTCTTACTCGTGATTTTTTACTCTGTGCGATTCGTGTGTGTAGACTTTCAAGCGCAGGAACGGTGGCAGGAACAAGCACAACAGGGGACATGTCAATTTCATCCGCTGCTCCAACTGCGGCAAGTGCTGCCCTAAGGTACGATGTCCTCCTGTGGTTGGTCATCCTCATAATTATATCTGTCTCGAACGATTTGATACAATGTTGAAATCGGTTTGTAGGATAAGGCGGTTAAGAGATTTATCGTGAGGAACATTGTCGAGCAAGCGGCAATTAGGGATGTTCAGGAAGCCAGTGTCTACGATGGTATAAACGCTTCTCCCTTCTGTTTCCCGTGGTTGATACACGTACGTATGCGTTGATTTTGTAGCTTTGTAGGTCGGATTTTGGTTTCTGTCTTGGTTGATGGTTTACTGTTAATTCGTTTGCGTACTACTCAGGCTACACACTGCCGAAGCTATATGCCAAGATGCAATACTGTATCTCGTGCGCCATCCACTCTCACGTTGTGAGGGTCAGGTCCCGCACTGACCGCAGGGTCCGTACCCCACCTCAGCGGTTTGCCAGACGCAGGGTAAATCTCTTCTGATATTTCTTATTGTTCAGGTTTTATGGAATCTGCTTACAGTATAGCCTTGTTTGACTGTATAGGATTCTAATATGATACTATGTTTGTTGATGCTCTTGGCCTTTGATGCCGTGTGATCATATGGGTTTTGTCTTAGGCTACCTTTGTGAATCGACTTATGTATGATATACCGGTTCGTGTGAAGTTTTTTGATTGCTACATCTTAAACTGTTGTTTGGATCGTGCTCACAATGGAATGTTCGAGTTCTGCGTGCCATGTTTGCTCATGTTAGTCTTGGTTCATCTGTCAAACGTTTTGGGCTTGGAGCATGTTTCAAAATTTTCCCTTTTGTTTGGTTTCTTTGTTTATCTTCCGACTTGCAGAACTTTGAGTAGCGTTCTATTATCTTGGAATTCATTTGGTTTCTTGTGTATGGTATATTGGGTCATGTGGAGTTTTTTTTTATTGTGACAGCTTATACTGTTGTCTGGGTCGTGCTCACAATGGCTTGTTGGTCATGCATCGTGCTGTTCATGTTTTGTATGCCAAGTTTCTTTGTTTAGCTTCCGATTTGCAGAACTTTGAGTAGTGTTCGATCATCTTGGACTTCATTAGGGTTTCTTGTGTATAGTCTTACCGCAAGTAGCTGAATGGTTTCGGTCCTGTAATGTTTTCAGGACGACATGCCTAAGCCTGGGCAACCCGGACAGGCTCCCCGTGTCCCGGGAGCTGGAGCTGCACCCCGTACCTGAAGTCCACTACACTGGCTCCTGCACCATTCCAAATCCATGTTTTCTGGTTTCTTTTCATGTCCGAAATTTTTTTGAGAAAAGCTTTTAGAGCTGTGGTTTTTCTACCGGAACTTTAAAATGCCGTGACACTTTCAATAGTTTTATTGACTCTTGATATTTCCTTGGTTTTCTTTTCATCTCTACCCTTTCTTTCTGTCTGTGAACGAAATTATCATATGCATTGTGAAGTGTTCTCTTTAGTATTCTTGATAGGTATCAATCGATCCTGTTTTGAGAATGCGTTTTGTGAATCTTTTAAGGTAGAAGAAAACAGGGTTTTAGTTGCGGTATATAAACACAGAGAGGTCAGAGAATTCCTTTTCCCCTGGGCTCTAGTAAAAAATGATATAGACCGTCCGATCTCCCTATCATGACATGCGTACGGTGTAGATGTGTTTTCAACTAGCCCGTGTGATGTGCCACGTAATCGGTATGATGATTAGTGGGTCCCGCTCTTGTCCGTGAGACGATCTCCAATTTCAGGGGTTTCTGTTTCTGGGTTTGGAAGAAGTTTAGGGTTTAGGTTTTTTTCCGTTTTTTAAATTAAAAAAAAGTTTTGTTTAATTGCGAAAACGTTTTCTATTGGGATTTGCCCATGACGAGAAGAAGAAGAAGAAGAAAAAGGAAGGAAACCGAATACCATCCTTTTTCCTGGTTGGGTATTTTTTCCGAGGTCAGGTACAGTGGATTTCATTACCAAAATGACGGATTTTGGTTTAGGTTTTTATAAACTTTCCATAACAGTTTTAATTCTTTTTTATTCGAATGGTTATATAGTCATTATTTCCTTATATCATACGGCGAGAAATCTCATTTTCTTTTTTCGGTATCTTTTTTGTTTATTTGAGGATTCTGGCGGTTTTGTTTGTATGGTTTGTTTCTTCTTCCCCCTATTTCCTGTGTACGGCATGATGGTTTTTGCCTGAATTTCTATGAGTTCCCTTCGTTTCCCCTTCTCCAGTATCTTACGAGGTTAGTGTCTGTATCTGGGTATTCGTGTCGGAGGGGATTGAATGTTCGAGGACTTGGGGGGTTTGTACACATTTATGCATTCCTTCAGGCAAAGATCTGAACTTTGATCCCTCTCGGGTGAAGAATTTTGTCAATTTGATTCGTTTATTTGCATTGGCATCACCGGAGATTTGTGGGTTTTAGGTAATCGATCGATCACGTTGATGAAATTCTTTGACTGAGTCTGCTTTTCGGAGACAATTGCGTAATCGAAGAAACAGAGCATGCTTTGAAATTGTCAATACGATGAAAACCCGACCAGAAATTTATAGTTTCTTGTCTAATTTGTTCTTGGATTTGGCCTTTGTTCGTCATGTAGGTTTGTTTCCCGGTGAATTTTTTTGGATCCCAATGAAGAAAAAACTGACTCTTTTACGCGTGAATCTCGCCTTTTTTGGCCGTTTCTGTTCTTTGGAACCGCCTTCGTGGTCCTCGAAAGGGATGAATATCCAAACAGAGCTTTTCCAAAGTTCTTATTTTTCATGTGGAAATATGAAGCGGATTAGCCCTGCTATAAAGTTTGGGTTTTTTTTTTCTTGGTCCTCATCTGGGTTTTTTTTTTTGTTACAGAAATTAAATTCTCTTTGATTTCGAGAGATTTGCCTCAAAGAATCTAATGACACATGGACTAAAACCACAGGTACTCTCCTGATACTTCACTTAATACTGTAGATTTCTGCGTCCACGAGGTGAACATATAGTGTTATAGAGTTGAGAAGACAGCGTTGAGGTTTCTGGAGCCTTTTTGTAATCATTACCATGGAAGGGTAAAAAAAAACTTGATTTTTCCAGCGGTGAGGATCACCTGGTTTTAGTAAAATTCTTTGTGGGTTTTGACTTAATGGCGATGTTGGTTTTGAGGAACCTATGTGTAGGGATGCCTAATCTTTGCATTTATTATCAGTTTACATCGGTCATGCTCTGTTTTTATTTTGTTTCTTTACCTAAAATATGAGCTCTTATGTTTACTGAAGTAGTAACAATCAAGCCTTACATAGGATTTATTGCACTCCCCATTGGCAGGAAATTTTTAAACCCTCCATTGATGGAATTGAGAAATCAAGTGAAATCACTTCATTTTTCCTCTACTTGGTGAGAAACTAATCTGCCTCGTTGTCTCTTTACCGTTCTCTCTTTTCGTGGCTTCCAATTCGGATTCTCGGCTATTTGAAAATTGAAATCAACTTCTGCCTTTGTTTTCATTCCTTTGGTTGAAGTGATTTATCCTTGGGGAGTATATTTCATTGGATACTTTTTTTAGTATTCTTTTCTGCCCGTTCTCTCTTTTGAGAGTTTTCTTTATCTCAATGTGTTTGGCTGCTCGTTGTTATGTGATGAGCTATTGGCAACACCAGATGTTGTTGTTTCTTGTTCATATGATGTGATTCCAACAAGGCTCACTCAGATTTTTTTTTAAACTTTATTTCCATTTCTCTTTGTTTGATGGTTTTGTAGATGTCTTGATGTATCACCCTCATACAAGTGGCGCTGTCTGAAGGTTGTTTGAGATTTGTTGCCATGGGAGATCTTCAGGAGAGGTTGTCAGTCTCTTCCTCATCGTCCTCGTCATCATCTTCCTTGTCATCGTCGAGAAAACCGCCTGTGGCAGAATCACTACCGATAGATGGGGAATTATGGATGATTGCTGAGGATAGGACCTGGGAGATACTATGCACCATCCAGCCAGTTCTTGTTTCTGACAGAAGTAGGATTGAAATCATTGATTATGTTCGGAATCTAATTAAGGGTCACCATGGCGTTGAGGTTAGAACTTCAGAGTTTAAATTGACATGCACCCCTCTCCATTTTTATTTGATTGTACCACCTGTGAACATGGCGAGTTCTATATTTCAAATTCAACCTGGATTATCGGGTTGGACATGTCCTGTTTGTTGAATCTTTATCTGACGAAAGCCTTTCGAAATGCTTTAGTTGTGGGAGCAAAAGAATTAGGTATACCTTCCTTAATGATTCAGGACATGTTCTCTGCCAGAAAGTATTGATTTCTGTGTCATGTCTCTTATGGGTTTTAAAACTTTTTTACTTATTGAGCAACTGTTTTTCAAACGTCGTATTGTGTCCACAGGTCTTTTCATTCGGTTCGGTGCCACTGAAAACCTATCTGCCTGATGGAGATATCGATCTGACAGTCCTAACTCATCAAGACATGGAGGAAAAATTGGCTGTACAATTGTGCAGTATGCTTGAAGGTGAAGAAAAGGGATCTGATATCCAGGAAATCGATGATTTCCAAGCAACGGATGTTCAGTACATTCGTGCACAGGTCTCTTTACTTCCTTTTGACTTCTATTTAAATGTTAACCATTTGTGCCAATGCCATTCGATGGTCACATTGCTTTCGAAATTGTTTGAACACTAGGTCAAGGTCATAAAATGCAATATCAAGAACATAGCCGTGGACATTTCCTTCAACCAAATGGCAGGACTCTGCGCTTTATGCTTCTTGGAGCAGGTAAAAAACTCTAGCCCGACATATTATGGCCTCACTCTTCACAATATGTACCAAAATCTGCTTCTTAATCGGGTGGTATCATCTTTGATTCTTTTTGTATTGCCAGATTGATCAAATTTTTGGAAGAGACCATCTATTCAAACGAAGCATCATCTTGATCAAAGCCTGGTGCTATTATGAGAGCCGGATTCTTGGTGCAAACACCGGATTGATCTCAACGTATGCATTGGCAGTATTAGTCTTGTACATCATCAATCTATTCCATTCGTCCCTATCTGGCCCTTTAGCGGTGAGCACTCTTTGCTGGGCTTGATCCTAACATCATCTCATAATCTTTAGGTTATCGATGGAAAAAATATATTTTCTAACTGCAAAACTTTCAATAGGTCCTGTATAAGTTCTTAGATTACTATGGTTCTTTCGACTGGGACAATTACTGTGTCAGTGTCAATGGTCCAGTTCCAATATCTTCCCTTCCAGAGATGAATGGTGAGTAATGCAAATCCGGAGCTTTTCACAATTCACACCATGTGTTTTTTCATATAAGGCATTCTTTATTTTTCCTCTATGCAGCAGTGTCTCCAGAAATTAACGGGTGTGAGTTATTGCTCAATGAGAAGTTTTTCAGAGAATGCACTGAATTATATTCTGTTCCGACAAAGGGAGGTTATGCAAACGGGCATGATTTTCCTGTCAAACATCTTAACGTCGTGGATCCTCTGAAACATAGCAACAACCTCGGGCGAAGTGTGACTAAGGGTACTTCAAAAGTTTCTTTCTTTTGCATTGTTGGGCATGTGATCTCTCCTTACATTTTCAGATATTCAAGTAAATGGATTGTCTTTGCTGACATTCTTAGGCAATTTCCAACGTGTAAGACATGCCTTTTCCTTGGGAGCTCGAAAGCTCAGAGACATCCTCACACTACCTGTTGAAACAATGGGCAGCAGACTCGAGAAGTTCTTTGCTAATTCCTTGGACAGGAACGGTAAGGGCCAAAGGCAGGATGTTCACAATCCCGTTACAGCGTTTGGCACTGGAAGATCAGAACTATCAGAACTCAGTGGAGACTTCAATGGTTATTATAGAAGTCTTGTATATGGACAGTGGTATCATGGGTGCGGGTTACCCGGGACATCTCAACATAGCTGGATGCCTTCGACTTCTCAGGTTCAGGACACAAGTGCCTGGGACATGGTCCATAGGTATGTGAACTCCCAAAAGAACGAGTTTTATCGGAGTGGTCTGAATGGTTCAATTCCTCGTCCTCTTGCTTGTCTGCCCACACCGGCTATCGGCCTCCAAAATATGGGAAAATCCAGAGGAACTGGCACTTATATCCCTGACATGGTGAGCTCTGGCTTTGGGGTTTTATTCAAAATTGTATTTTGTAGTTTCTGATGTAACAAGGGCTCATTAATATGATACTTCCTCCCTTGGTTGTTGCAGAGTCAGAGCTGGTATGCTGATAGGTTCAGAGGCACAAGTACTGGGAACTCATTAGCTTCAGTTCAGGCTCGTCCACTGCTGAAATCATCTGAACGGGTTAATGGTAAGTTAGAAGCTTCCATGGTGACAAGAGGTGATGAGATTGGTAATGGCTGCAATCACATTCTTGAAGGGTTGGTGTCTCATTCTGGTAATAAAGAAGAATCCTCGAGTTCGGAATCCTATGACCTGGATCAGCCATTGTTGAAATTTCCCCGAGCTGGGAATTCCTTTTCCTCGTCAGGAAGTAGTATGAATGGAACTAGTGAGTATTCCGGTTCGGTATCTGGAAGGTCTTCACCACTGGAAAAGCTAGTTGATCCCATTTCTTCAAGCGCATCAGCCATGGGAGACAACAAGGAAGAAGAAAACGGAAGTTCTTGTTGATCCTTGCTTGGTCTCTAGTTAAGGCTTTGGTCGTTTCTGATACTTGACCAACAGAAATATGACAAGGTTTCTGCAACTTCTAACCAAATGAGACAGTCCTCTTGAGTAGCTTTGCAGTTGAATGCTGAAGTAGCAGCTTTTGTAGGATCCAACAGATGATAATTCATCAGGAACAGGGCTTCTGTTCAACAACTTTCATCTGATTCTGAGATATCTCTCTTTGATTATTTGGCAAAATAGGAAAAATACCATTATGTTTCTGACAGTTTCGGTGACATTGTTTCAGCAATTTGTCTGGAAATTTGTCATAACCCCAACTCTTTTGAACTGATGCTTCTGGTTGCCTTTCCCTTCTAGTTTTCAGATTTTCTAAACTTCCATCATTTCATTTGCACAGAGCCAACAAAAGTAGACTCCAGAACCTTTATTCCCAGCCTCACATTGAATACAATTTACAAAGCAAGACATCATCAGACAGACCTGTTTCAGTTTTTTAACCAACACTGCAACAATAGTCTCATCTTATAACACAAATGACAGGATAGGATATTGCTTGCATGTTACAAGATGGGCAACACAGGCTGGTAAGAAAAATAGAACAGTGACATCTCAGGGTTTGAGCGCCTCATAGAACAAGCTTCGAGGACACTAGATATCGGAGTGTGACACTGTCTGGGGAGTGAGAACGTACATATGACAGTCGTGAATGTCCACTTGAGCTCCAAACGAGCCAGCTGCATTCTCTTCCATATCTTCATGCTGCAAGGAACGAAGGTAACGTGTGAAAAAAATGATCTCGAGGTCCGTTACTTGAGAGGTGATGACAGGAAGATAACTCACCTTCCATAAATCCCTTACTGAAACACTGATACTTGATTCCAGACCAAGAACATCCCATGATGCTGTTATAGTTGCAGGCTTAGAACAACGGTTCCAGAGGGCAACAACCAAGCGGTTTCCGGACAAAGGCCCTGCCCACACCTGGAACACGACAACAAATCATGTAATGATGTTGGATTTTGTTATGCTTCGGCTTCTAAAGATGAACTTAGATCACACCTGTTCGCAACCATCTTCACCGTTGACGTTGACTCTTCTTCCTTGAACACCAAGTGGATCTGCAACCAGAATTTGGAGTGTTTAGAATACATATCTCCCGTCAGAGGGAATAGCAGGAAACTCATGTATGTAGACTAAGAGATCAAACATGAGATTTCCACCTTGGTTTATGGCTATAACCTCTTTATTGCTCAGAATCTCAAATGTTTCTGCTGTCATGTTTCTTATATCACAACCAATCAAAAGCGGTGCCTGCAAAAACAGATTGATGAGAGAAGAAACTAAGATAAAGAAGGAAATCGAGAAATCATAGAGGTACGTACCTTCATCAATGCCCAGATGCTAAAGTGACCTCGATATTCCTGGTAAGTCATCCCTCCGTTTCCAACTTCCAACATATCCGGATCTGATGCAGTTGTAAAGAAACAAGGAACAGTAAGTAGTTAATATATAGTGAAAGTATATCTGACTCAAATGGGAAAACTTTCATAGAAATCAGATATGATCACCATTCCATCCACCAGGTCCTGCATATGCTGCCCACTTGTTATTCAGATCAGCAATCGTCGTCATACTTTGCAGAGCAAAAGAAAAAGAAGAAAAAGAAAACAATCAGATCATAAGTTTTGAGCATTAACAGAAGTTCCTCCTGTTATCTGAAACTGGCAGTAACTCCACGGCCAGTTGATCATTTAACAATATTCTTCTAACAGAAAACTAACACGGGTTTTGTCTAAACGCAAGACATTCCTATGATAAGGATCAAACTGATCTTACATCTTCACGCGAAAACAGCAGAATTGCAACAGTCATAGGCTTCAGTTTGCTCTAACATAGTTGGTTATTGTTTGAGAAGAAGTGTTTCAAAGATAATATTTACCTCGCCCATGTGTCATTGATGTCATCAGTTGTACGCCAACTGTTTCCAACTTCGTCGGCCCACAAGGCAGGATCGTCAACACCCCTGCAAACAGTAAAATGAAAAGGGGGTTAGAACCGAAATAAAATGGTGTGGATCGTAAAAACTCTCTTTCTGCTGGAAGATGCAAAATTTTGTACCATTCGCAAAGTGAATAGAAGATTGATCGACCGGTTGAGTTTAGAGCATCACGCATTGGAGGGTATCTGGAAATCAATGGATCGTATCAAGTCATTCGATATATATGTCAGAAGAGTTCAAGGAAGAGGTACCTTAGTATGGATTAAGCACGAACCTTTCGATCGGTTTTATTCCCAGATTGAAACAGTTGTCATATTTCAGATAATCCACACCCTGGAAACCAAATCTATGGATGAGAAATTAAGAAAACAGAATTCTCTGGATAAGGTTCACTTTCAAAAAGTAATGGTCTTCAAAGATTAAATAGATATGGCAAAAACTAACCCAAGAAGCGAAAATATTTGCATCATCCGCTTCATGGAAAAGGGATCCTGGACGAACTTGACATGTGAAAACACTGAAAGGGGAGATTAGGACAGTAGTTAACAATGTGTTACAAAGAAGAATAGACAAAGCATGCATCATTCCTTATGATTCAAAATCAACTTTAGGGGTTTCAGAAATTTTCCTCCTACCCGGCATCGGAATATATACCAAGTTTCAGGCCCTTTGTATGAATATAATCAGCAAGATGTTTAACTCCTGATGGAAAGGTTTTAGGATCAGGAACCAATTGATCCTATATATCAGGACAATACAAAAGATGATATAAGCATCAAGAACGTAATTGAAGTGATATCTAAGCTGGAAAAGAAATTTCTGCATGAAAACTGAGAGGGGTCAACTTAGGAACTGCAAGAACACCATCTTCAAGCTGCAACAGATAATAACAACTCACAGAAGAAATTAAGAGATTGGCTATGGTTAAAGATTGTGCCGAACTATACAAACAACTTTACCTTCGAATCTCGTGTAAGCTTAGACCAGCAATCATCTGCAACAAAAGCAAACTTTGTTCAACCTATATCGGTTAAAAATCCTGGACCGAAACCAAATACGAAGGAGTGATCCAACTGAAAATACCGATATTGACGTGTATGTATCCGAGATCAGCCAACCCAGATGAGACAAGAGCATCAGCTATCAAACAAAGTGGTAAAAAGATCAGCAATTGTTATAAACTGACAGAAAGGCCTCAACACGATCAACAGCTCCATCGATAACGGAAGAAGCAAGCGAAACACAGAATTTACCGGTCTCCTTGATGACTGTTTCATTGATATTGCAAGCAAAGAAATTCCAGCTATTCCATCTGCATATACAAGTGAAAAGAACGAGTTCATACTGCAATGCACATAGGAAAGTCCAAGAACATAACTCGTGGGAACAACTTCAGGCAATGGTAACACCAGAAACGAAAGGGTGGAAAGAGGGCATCAAAAGGATTAGATTAGTAACAGCCAAAACCTTGTTTTTTCTGTCATCTGTGCATCAAAATCTTTAGTTTTCCTCTATCAATCTTCACATTTGAGCCGAAAACACAGACAATCCACTCAAAATGAGAAATTACAGAAAAAAAATTTGTTGAATCACAAACAACCCGCTAATATCGGATTCCACAACAAGGAAAAATGAAAAGCAATCAAGCAAGCAAAGCTAAATCCTAAAATCCAAGAACAGAGGATATATTGAGAGAGAGGGAGAGAGAGAGAGAGAGACCCCATGGGAGGAGTTCGAGCAAGGCCATTGTTGAGCTGCAAACGGCCGTACATAGAAGTGTCATAGATCGAATCGAAAGATTTGGTGAACACAAAACCACCATGACTGCTCTGCAACAATGGCGCTTTGACCCTTCCTGCGATTGACCGATCAACTAAAACCGATAAACCCAAGAGCCCAGCGACGAAAAAGATCATATCTTTCATCTTCTTCGTCGTCGCCATTAACGCCTTCTTCTCTCACTCCCTGTTGATTTTTAAAATTTTTTTGTTTGTTCTTCTTCGTCTTCCTTCTGTTATCTTCGTTGAACAACTACATTTCGTGTAGACACGGAAACTGGTTAATTCATGGGTCCTTTGGGTAGTCGAATATTCGGATAAAATTGTGGAAAGTATACTTAATTAATTATATGATTATCCATTGCCCAAGATCAATTCCTGCATCTTTTGCGAAAAACAAACAAACAATAGTTTTCCTTAATTAAATACACAATACATTGTAATGTGGTAGAAGCAATGTTTAAGTTGCCACTTACGCTTATCACCATCGTAGATGTTAGGATTATCGTTCTATTAATTAATCCTGAGAAAAGCTGTCAACTTTATGATCTACAGTCTTGACCCTTTTACGATAAGCACGTTCTGTATTTGTTTGTATATATAACATGGAATAATAAATAATAATAATACCGGGGTATGCAATAAAATTACTTACAAGTAATAACAATAGCTAAAAGTTTTTTTTTTAATAATTTGAGTGTTCTAAATCAAGATTTAGATTAATTTTGGATTCAAATTTAAAGTTTGAATCCGGAATAACTACCCAAATTTGTTTGGATATAAAGTTTAAAAAGTTGGTCGAGATTCAAGAATCACGAGCCTTAGTGCCTGAATCAACCGTTGTGACAGAGTTGAGTATTAGGTCTTCTTCACTGTCCGAAAGACAGCCCGCTTCTAAAGTTCCCAGATTTTTCGTCTTCATCGTTTTCCTTTTTCCTGTTTGGTAGCCGAGAAAATTTTCGACCCTCAAATAAATTAGGTGCGAAGTCTCTTACATTTTCCCCTCCCTCCCGGGAAAATCCACTAAATCGTTGAGGGGCTTCAGCTACAGTGACGTTTGATTATTCATCGGCCCAAGCCCATCTTTCAGTCAGTCCATTATAAGGCCCCCCATTATTTACTTTAAAAAATACTCTGTTCTTATATATATATATATATATGCCAATTCTTTTTTTTCTGGTACAGTTTTATATGGTATAAATGTTGAAATAGTATTTATTACCTGATTAATGAAAATTTTCTAAATTCTTATCTTCCATTTTTTTATACAATCTTATAAGAAATATTATTTATTGAAACTTTTTTGTATCATTATATATATATATAAAGTTATCCTCCTATATTTACCTCTCGTTTCCTTATATTTTAAAGCTATATACAACACACATATATATATATATATATAGAATTGTGGTTTACATGATGAATCTGCCATATTAAATATCCAACTCAAGTAGGGGTAGACACGGGTGGTGTACCTGAGTTTTTGGGGTATCCGGAGTTCGTCTTCGTTTTCGCGGGTTTTGAGAAAACGATATCTCGTTTTCGTTTTTGCCAAATCCAAGTACCCATAATTCGGATATCCGTCGCTGAATTCGATTACCCGAGGGTATCCGAACCCGTCCAATTCGTTAGAAAATGTTGACTTTTGTTGACTTTAAGGGTATTTTAGTAATTTAATATAAAAATATTTTAAATAATTATTGTAAATATATCAAAATATCAGGGATATAATTGTCATTTTATTCGTATTCGGGTACCCGTCGCCATTCAAACAAAACCCGAACTCGAACACGCAATCCAGATTTTTGACTTCATCATACCCGTTTTCGTCTTCATTATATAAAGGGTACCTGTGTTTCGAGTATCCGTGAGACTGGGTACCCGAAAACCCATAGGTTTCAAGTACCCGCGTCCACCCCTAAACTCAAGGACTTGTTTTAAATAAAAGAGGGAAACAAAAATGAAATCAGATTAACAGAATGAATTTATATGCCATGTTTTTGGTTAGGCCCAAACTTCTGCAACGGTCTATCCAATTTCATGGTTATGACGAAATACCCTCGAAAACATGACGTCACTGCTGATGATCTTCATGTTCAATTATTATGCTATCAACCTTAACAATTTCTTGTTTCGTTATTATTCGACATTAGCATAGATACCTAAAAGCTTATCTACAGTCGTTATTTCATTTATTGCGTATTTTATTGTCACATACGCGGTAATCTAGAGTTTATTCTATTTCTATATATTAAAAATTAAGCATTTAAATTCTTCGCCGTTAGTATATATCCGGTCACTAAAAAAACGTTTTTAACGAAATTATACATTTGACTACGAGATACCGTGATTTGGCACATTTTTGTCTTCATTTTAGATCTGATTTTTGTAGAAAATTTTGTTTTGACGATATCTAAAAAACATTGTTTATATATTCTAATGCAGGTGTTTATACAAAATAATTCACATTTCGAACAACAAGAGTCATGAATAAAAAAAAATTGGTATCTATAAAAAAAATACAATGACTGATATCCTAATAGATTCAAAACCACAAAACTATTTTCCAACTTTAAATATATATATTTTTTATCTCGTAGAAATCCCAATTGTTACCCTCCGGACGTACTGAATAAGTATATCTCCATTCACGTATACGAGTTCGGAACACACACATGAAAGGTATAATCAACTATAATTGACGGATGATAAGCGAACGGATAAGGAATCGAAAATATTCTTTACCAACTCATCTGGATATTTTCCATTTTTAAATATTTTTATTAGAAATATTGCATTTACCTTGACGGGAAAAAAGGGAAGGAAACGTTTTCTTTTACTCCCTAGATTTTTTACTTAGGAAAGATAGAATTAGATATGTTAGGTTTTTACCAAATATAATATTTTTATAGGAGATAATTAAAAGCTTACCTACAAAATAGCCAACCTTTTACCTATTTACTTTAATTATTTTGACTCGTGTGAGAAGGGCCACACTTAACGAATTCAGTATCGATCGGCCCCTTTTTTTCTCCGCATCAAAGTGGAATAAATAACATATTTATTTCTTTTATTTATTGATGTTGACAAAAGAATTTCCACACATTATTTCTTTCGGTGCCTTTTACAATATATATATATTCGAGTGATGCCACCTAACTTCGCATGACCAATGATGACACGTGCCTCCGGCGATTACGTTGCGTTTCACTCCATATTTGTTGTCCGTCCTAAAGCTTGACAAACGAAAATATTTCTCATTATGTTTCTTTATATACACGTATATGCATGAATGTGCATATACGTGTATATATGCATTCGACCACTATAGTATGGTCTATATTGTAATTTCTAAATATGCATTCATACGCTCCGCTCATCGTTACCCAATTGATGCATGGACGTAAAAAATTGATAATTCGACGAATTCTTCTTTGAGATAACGGGCTTACATTGTACATGCTATGTTGATATTTATATATATGTATATATACGATGAAAATAGTATTTCGCATTATAAATCACTGATTCACCTCTTTCTAAATCTTCTTTTCAACTACAAAATGTAAATAAATACACGAATGAGGTGAAAATGATTTAATATCCATTACAATTTTCCAACTTTAGATTGTAAAAATATGTTTTTTTCTTTAATCCAAGGATTTGTTTATTGATTTTTTTTTATTCGATCTGCGGAAATTGGTTTTTGTAATTTACCAATTAAAAAGCATGCAATGGATATTATCATTGCGAAAAGGATAACATTTTTTTATATTTGAAAATTTTAAAGTGAACTCATTATTACGATTGTCTGCGAAATTCAACAAAGCTGGCCCTCCATTTTCATACCACGTTGCTTCTTTGTGTCCCTCGTTAATATATGCAAACTACACAATCATCTATATATGCATGCATCTATATATATATATATACACACACGTATACACACTGATATTATAAACAAGATCACCGCATTCTCTTCTTAAACCCCATTAATCCTTTTCAGTTTTTGTTTTTTTTTTTGTGTGGGAAAATTGCTGCAATGAAGGTTCATAACCTCTATGCTCTCTTACTACTGCTTCTTCTGATCTCTGAAGTTCGTTTGAATTTCGCGTCCGATCGGAGAGGAACAAGATTAGAGTCGGAGCGATTTCACGGCGACTTTCCGGCGACGAGAGACAGGAAAATGATGGTGAAGACGGAGACTGATTATCTGGGAGATTATTATGATGATGGATCATCATCATCATCATCATCGCCACCAGCTCCTGACTATGATGATTTCTATAGAAGGCAAGGTGACGTTCCAAGTCCTGGCATTGGCCACTGAAGATGCAAGCGTACACCGTGTACATATTACACGATATCTTTTTCACGTACGCACGTATACATGCATACATACAAAATTTTCATATATACGTATATATTACATGCACGCATGTGGTATCATGGTATATTATATGTTTGTCCCGTGAGGTTTCCGAGTTTGTGTTGTTTTGTTTATTTATTAATTATATTTGTTTTTGTATCGTGTCCTATTGAATTGCTCTTATATATTCATGAACACTTCTTGCGACGGAAACTTCGTGTATGTAAATAAGTACGAAATAAAAATGCATTTTTCATACGTGCGAGATATTTAACATAAAGTGGCAGTTTTCATATATTGGTTTATATGAAATAAATATGTGATATATTTTGTTGAATATAACGATGAATGAGTACTGAAAACGAAAAATTCCACTCCGAGTAAGAAAATGATGAGATAAGAAGAAAAGAGGGAAAAAAAAGAGCCTAAAACAAAAATGATTTTGGGATTCATAGAAGAAAAAAAATCTTAATTTGTTTTGTCAAATATATTTTTATTCAAATTCGATTCCATTATCTCTAAACATATTCTTCCAATTTTAAAATTATTCTCATTCGATTTTTAAATCGAATTTCAATTTAATCACGATTTAGTTTAGATTCGATACTTATTAAAAAAATACTTTATATCATAAATATATTTGTTTTTTTCAATTATTTAACATGGTTGTGTTGTGAGATTTGACGTGGCAGGCCGGGCAAATACATATATAGAATCCAAAGTTTAATTTTGAATCAATTTTGATAAAAACTAAAATATTATGTATGGATAAGATCAAAGCATTAGTATTTATTATTATTTGTAGGATCAAATCAAGGTTTTCTTTGCATCTTGTTATATTATATGTCAATACTAGATATTCCTTCCACTACGAAAGGCAAAAAAAGAAAACGTATTTCATATTTTTTTATATTATAAAATTGATTTCACTACGGTGCATGGTTGTGTTCCACTAGCTTGCGTTAAAGGCTCCCGACATGGGCAGGAAGGTCTTTTCGATTTTAAAAAAAAAAATCTGTCCTGAATGACGTTCGGCCTCCTTAATTTCAGCAGAAAAATTAGGGTTTCTCCTTTGAAACTTGAGCTTAATTTCCTTAGTACAAATCATACATTTGATTTGATAAAATATATTTATAGTGTATGTATAGGTGCAAATTAAAAAAAACACAAGAAGCCCTTTTATAACAAGATGTACCACAGTTATCTCATGAATGTTTTTTATCACTTGCGAGTTTGGTACGAAACATGTTTTTTTTTTATAATTGGGTATCTTGAATCAATGTACAGACTAATTTTGAGATCAGAAATCAGTTATGTATTTGTATTATACGCTCTCTTCCAAAAGTTGATATTCGAACTCGGGACGGGACGGAACAAACTGACAAACGTTTTATGTTTCACTGATAACTATCGAAGTTTGGGTGATACAAAACATATGTTATATTCACATGCTTGATAAGTATATAACCGCTGTAATATTTTAATTTTTTGAATTTAATATAGTAATCATGTCGATCGGTCGGCACATTTTTTTTTGTCATGTATTATATATAGTAATCGTGTATGACTAGTAATGTATAAGATGCAATGAAGTCATTCGACCACTCGTTCCCTCCCGCAATAATTATTATTACTTTTTATTAATTCATTTCCTTGCATTTCATTGAATAGTTATTAATTATTTGACATATCTCTGATGAAAAAAAAGAAAACTATGCAATATTTTATTCCAAACAATGAATCATAAATCGTAATATAAAGGTAAAATTTTCGAATGTAGACCATTTTACCAAGAGTTTAAAATGAAATATTAATTTTATAATTGATAAATACAAAGTGTTTTTTTATTAACACAATGCAAAAAAAAAAAGTTAGATGAAGAAAAATTGGAAAAATTTGTTTGCATTAATTTCCTCTTTTTTTTTCCCTCTATTTCTCTCCATTTTTAATTATAGTGTATATATATGTGTGTGTGTGTGTTTTTTTTTCTTGGATGGAATGTGAATAATTGCATATGCGGCCGTCAACCGGACATGCGATACATATACATTGAATGCACTTTTACTTATATTTTATATATACACCAGATCTATTCTCTTTTTTTTTTGGTAAACCTTTTTATTTATATATTATAAATATTTGTTATAAATTTATAAATTTATCGTTTTTAGTTTTAAACATAACATATTACATATATTTTTATGTTATAAATACTATACTTATTATCACTTTTTATAATAAGATTTGGTATCTTTTGGACTACTCGACGATTTATTGGAATATAAAACGGGGGAAAGCCCGTGAATAAGCCATGATTAATTATAATATGAGATTTGATACGATCGGATATATATAAATACGTGGTCATCGTCGTGTTTTCTGACGGCGACAAGTCTCCATAAAAAGACTAATTAAAGCATCTGATTTTGACTGTACATTCGTCACATATATGTATGCATATATGATATATGTATGCATATATGATATATGTATGTATGTATGTATGTATCGTTTATTTTCCGCAATGCCAAAAGCGGAACCATACGTAGATTAATTCATCCAGCAGCAGCAGCCTTATGGGAATAAAGTAAAAAAGATAATGTTTAAAAAAACACAAGAACATTCCTTCCGCTGTGGTGCTTGCAAGTTGTAGTAACTAATTTAATTATTATATTTAAAAATACTGCACAGACCACAAGTCATTTATATATATATTTATATATTAAAGTTGAAATGTTTTAAAATTGGTGAGGAAAATCGACAATAATAAAGATATATTTATCATCATTTAAAAAAAAGTATTTTATTTTGGTAGAAAAAATAGAAGGCAAGTATCAAACAACTACTACCATGGGTCCATGACAATCACGCCAAACCTCTCCCCGTCTTTCTACTGAGTCTGACTACCGATACATTTGTTTACAATATAAAAACATAATTTCCATATTATTTAATTCTCTATATAATTTTTATAAATATATTCAATAGTTAATAAGTACAAAGAATCAAAGAGATTCAAAGTATACAGATTCGTCGTCATCATCATACATTCATAAAATTAAGTTGATGTTTCAGCGTTTTATTCATATAGTTTTGTATAAATAAAGTCACCTTCCATTTCCTAAAAAGAAAACTATAAATATACAAATAGTTTATTATTTTGGTAACCAAATCATTACACAAACCGTTTCTTTTTTTCTTTTTTAATTTTTATGGTCATTTTTGTTAGCAATTTCGTTGATTACCGTGTTTAAGATACCTCTATCGCAGTTGCAACAATAGGAACAGGATGATAATAGCCCAAACAAAATGAAATCTGGAGAGAGGGAGAGTGAGAAAGGTGGGGTTGGTGATGGCGAGAGCGGGGGCTGAGTAGCAAGCTGCATCAATGGCGGAAGGCCTGTTGGTAAGCAGAAAGAGAAACCCTTTCGCCGTCGTAAATGTAATTGTCGGGATATCACGTGTTTCTGTCTCTTCGCCTGCAGAATTTTCTCGCCATGTTTTCACCCTTTTCTTTTTTTCCCGAGAAAACACACCTCGAGGCTCGAAGTGTTCTTTAGTTTTACCATCCGGCGGTAATGTGTCCTTATCGTCTCCCACTTCGTCCTCTCTCTGATCTGTATTCTCTTCTTATTTCATTGATAAAGATAACTCCTTTACCTTTTTTTCCTCTTCCCCCCCCCCCACCCCAAAAAAAAAATCCTTTTTTTTATTGCATCACTCGGAAATTGATTTAAAAACCGAAAGTGAAAACTCCAAATGGTGTTAGACAGAACATGGGCAAAGCTAATAAATGACGAATTCTTCTCATTTATGGCTTAGTTACTCAGCCACACTTCGAAGGGCCATTCCTTTATGGGATTTGTCATTTGTTGGTCTCTAGCAACTACAAATAAAAATGGTGGGGGCTCCTTGGTTTCTGATGAAATTTGGGATCTAGGGTTCTTCAAGTTCTTGGCTTTTTTTGGGGATTTCTGGGTATTTAGGTATGAATATGAGGATAGAGACTCAGATGGCATGTGGGTTGAATGTGACTTGCTTGCTATCATCCTCTGTTTCATGAAGGTTGTTGTTTCGTATTTACTGTTCTTTGGAGGTTTCAGTCTAATGGAATAAAGTCTCTTCATTTTCTCTTCAAAAATTGCCAAAAAGCTTCAAACTTTATGGCTGAGATTTAGATATATCATCTGCTTTTGGTCGCAGGTTTTGGTGGGCTAGGCAGAAGAGAATTTATACACGCTTATTTCTGCAGAAACCGAAGCTTAGCTAACCATGGATCTCAATTTCAGAAAGTGCTTTGCTTCAAAGGTTTGTTCATTATTCTCACACCACAAGTCTAAGATTCGTTACAGTTTTGAGTTGATGAATCATTGCAATTCTTGAGAGAGATTCTATAGATTTTACAATTCCCAGATTTGAAGAAGCTGCTGGGTTTTGTGTTTGTGTTGCAGAAGGAATCATGGAGGTCTGTAGTGCTTCTTGCTTATCAGAGTCTCGGTGTCGTCTATGGAGATTTGAGCATTTCCCCACTGTACGTGTTTCGAAGTACTTTCGCTGAAGACATTCATCACTCAGAGACCAACGAAGAGATCTTCGGTGTTCTGTCCTTTGTCTTCTGGACTCTCACTTTGGTCCCTTTGATCAAATATGTCTTCATTGTTCTCCGGGCCGACGATAATGGAGAAGGTGAGTCCTTTCTGTTAAAAAAAGCATAAGAACAACGTTCAATGAGAGATATTACTTAACACACATAGCAATCGAAACTTTTTTCGCAGGAGGGACCTTTGCTCTGTATTCTCTGCTCTGTCGTCACGCCAAAGTTAGCCTTCTGCCGAACCGACAGCTCGCTGACGAGGCACTGTCGACGTATAAACTGGAGCATCCACCCGAGAAGAATCACGACTCGTGGTTGAAGAGATACCTCGAGAAACACAAGTCTCTTCACACTGCTTTACTGGTTTTGGTTCTTATTGGCACTTGTATGGTAATCGGAGATGGAATTCTCACTCCAGCTATTTCTGGTATGACCATCATTTTCGTATATGTATATACGTATGCTTCAAGAATTCGATGTTTGGTTTCGGGTTCGGCTAAGAGTTTTTCTTTGTTAACCTCTTGTGTTGTAGTTTTTTCTGCTGTGTCTGGTCTCGAACTATCAATGTCTAAGGAACACCATGAATGTAAGTGGGAAGAAATCTGGTTACTGTAAAGAGATGAATCGATCAGCAAAGTTTTCATTTTCTGATGAATGCTTCCTCGGTGTTTTTGCAGATGCCGTGATTCCGATAACATGTGTCATCTTAGTCTGCCTCTTCGCCCTTCAGCATTTTGGAACGCATCGTATTGGATTTGTTTTCGCTCCCATTGTCTTGACTTGGTTGCTATGTATAAGCAGTCTCGGCATATACAATATAATCAAGTGGAACCCTCATGTGTATAAAGCTCTGTCTCCAACGTACATGTTCATGTTCTTGAAAAAGACGAGAAGAAGTGGATGGATGTCCCTCGGCGGGATCTTGTTGTGCATAACCGGTGAGTTTGGACAATGCCCTTCTCGTCGGGATCTTCGATAGAAATTTCACTCACGGGTTTGCTTTCAGGTTCCGAGGCCATGTTTGCTGATCTCGGGCACTTCTCTTACGCAGCAATTCAGGCACGTTTTTTTAAACTTAAACTCAGATTCTTATCTGGGTCTGAATGATTCGATTCATATTTTCTTCTTTTGTTAGATTGCCTTTACCTTCGTGGTTTACCCGGCTCTTATATTGGCTTACATGGGGCAAGCGGCTTACTTATCCCGGCATCACCATTCCATTTATAAGATAGGGTTCTATGTCTCCGTGCCTCGTAAGTGTCTCTCTTATTCAAGAACCGTAAAAGTTTTTGTTTTCTGTCAAAGAAATCTTGAAACTTTGAGTGTATATTTTTTGTTGGATTTGAACAGAAAGTGTGAAGTGGCCTGTGCTCGTGATTGCGATTCTTGCGTCTGTCGTCGGAAGCCAAGCGATCATCAGCGGGACTTTCTCCATCATAAACCAGAGCCAGTCTCTCGGCTGCTTCCCGAGAGTCAAGGTTGTTCACACGTCCGATAAGATCCATGGTCAGATTTACATTCCCGAGATTAACTGGCTGCTAATGATTCTCTGCATCGCTGTCACAATCGGGTTTCGGGATGTAAAACACCTCGGAAATGCATCGGGTAAACCCATTAACACCTTCAAACAAGGGTCTTGGATTAGGGTTTCTTGTTGGTGATGAAAGTTTCGAACTTTGTGGTTGCAGGGCTAGCTGTAATGGCGGTCATGCTGGTAACGACGTGCTTGATGTCGTTAGTCATCGTTATCTGCTGGCACAAGCCGCCGATCCTAGCCATGGCGTTCCTGCTCTTCTTCGGTTCGGTCGAACTCCTTTACTTCTCGGCCTCGCTCACCAAATTCCGCGAAGGGGCTTGGCTACCGATCCTCCTCGCCCTTTTCCTCATGACCGTCATGTTCGTCTGGCACTACGCCACCGTCAAGAAATATGAGTACGATCTCCACAACAAGGTCTCCCTCGAATGGCTCCTCGCGTTAGGCCCGAGCCTCGGAATCACCCGAGTTCCCGGTATCGGATTAGTCTTCACCGATCTAACCTCGGGTATTCCCGCAAACTTCTCACGGTTCGTCACCAACCTCCCGGCTTTCCACCGAGTTCTGGTCTTCGTCTGCGTGAAATCCGTTCCCGTCCCTTATGTTCCGCCGGCCGAGAGGTACCTCGTGGGACGGGTAGGACCAGTGGACCACCGCTCGTACCGCTGTATCGTGCGTTACGGGTACCGAGACGTCCACCAGGACGTGGATTCCTTCGAAGCGGAGCTTGTGAGCAGACTGGCGGATTTCATACGGTACGACTGGCATAGAAGAACACAGGGCGGAGCCCACGATCAGGACCACGACGACACATCGCGGTCAGTCCGATCGAACGAATCAACCAGCGAGTCGAGACTAGCGGTGATCGGGACAGTGGCGTTCGAGATCGAGGAGAGCCTGCAGCCGGAGAGCGTGTCGGTGGGGTTCACAACAGTGGAGAGCATCAACGACGTGATTGAGATGGAGACGACGATGCAGCCACAGCAAGCCAACGCCATGAAAAGGGTGAGGTTTGCAGTGGAGGAGGAGGAGGAAGAAGAGGAGGAGGAGATGGAGCTGATGGAGGAGATGGAGGAGCTGGTAACGGCGCAGCAGGCGGGGACGGCGTTCATATTAGGGCACTCGCACGTGAAGGCGAAACAGGGTTCGTCACTTGTGAAGAGATTGGCTGTGAATTTCGGATACAACTTCTTGCGGAGGAATTGCAGAGGTCCCGATGTTTCCCTCAAGGTCCCTCCCGTTTCCCTCTTGGAGGTCGGCATGGTTTACATCGTTTAGAGACTCCTCTCTCATCTCTCTCTCTACTGTAAATGCTGACACTCCTTTTGTTTCTTACAAAACTGAGACCGAAGATGGTGTCTGTCGTCGTGTGTTTTTCTTAATGTTGGGTTATAGATTGTAATTATGTTAAATCGCTGATTTTTGTTTTGGCAATTAATTTAGTTTGGGTACGTAAGTAAATCCATTATGCATGCCACTACGTCTATAACGTAAATCTATGCATCCATGGTGTACATATGGTTTGGTACGAATGCATGACAAAAACGACGTCGGATCATATTTGACCGAACTTGAGATGTAGTTTGAAGGATCGAAACGACGCCGGGTCGATGTCTCATCATCACGCAACGACGGGGCTGTAGCGGGAGAATTTTGGCGGGAAAATCCATAACTACATTTATATAATCCAATTCGCGGGAAGAAACTCGCGGAACAGCACCGCTTCGCTTCCCGTTTTACAGTTTCACTACATTGACTCTGCGACGCAGACAAAGTTTCGCGAGATCCGGAAATGGGAGGGCCGCCGTACGATTGTCGGGCAAATCCGCTCGGAGCCGTCCGATTCACCTTGAACAAGGCGATATCTTCGGTCTCCGACCCGGCGGCGTTTGACGGGAAGGACTGGGGCGCCGTTGATCTCTTCCGACAATTATTTTCCGATGATTCCGCGCTGTCCCAGGTCTGTAATCGATAGTCTCTGCTTGTCTGATTATGGTTTTAAGGCAATTAGTTTGGATTTCTGGGGAATTGGTTTTGAAAGATCTCAGGGGAAACCCAGAAAAAATAGGATTTTTCAAGTGTGTGATGTGGTTCGAGCTCCGACGGTTGATTGGGTCTCGAGGGTTTGTGCTCTCGATGAGTGATTTGTGGTTAATTCTTAGCTTCGTATTTGAAAGTAATGGTACTGTGGTGTTTGTCTAATGCAGGTTCCAATTCTAGATTCGTCGTCTATCAAACGGCTGCAGCCCAATACCCTTGTCCGGTTTCGTGGGATGATACAGGACATGCTTGGAAATGAATTCTACGCTGGTGCTTACAAGGTATTTAACTTGTGTCTGATGTTTTGTACTGAAGATGCCTGTGATCTTGGCCTTGAAATTACAATAACATAACTATGGGTTTTCTTGTTTTAAGGATGGTTCAACATGGAGAACCAATAAGTACAGTGATGTTTCCCAGTTACCTGCTGCTTCTTCCCCTGACATTCGAGTTTGGGAGCGTCACTTGCTACACTGTATTCCTGTATGTCCTCAGTGTTCGCATTGGCCTTGGTTTAGGTCCACAGTATTGCCTAGATATTTGTATACGATCAAATTCATGCTACAGGTCTCATATGATCAGTAATATGTAGGTCCCTGGACAAAATTCATGGATTGAATCTCCTTCTGAAGAATTGGAGAGCTGCTTCATGGATCTTGCTGGCCAGCACAGGGAAAAACGTGCCAGGGAAGATGAGGAAAATGACTGACTCATGAACTTGAATGTAAATTCCCTTGTCTAATTTGTTTTGTTTTTTCATTTCATTGCTCGTGATAACCATTTCACCTTTAGATAGTTATGAATTTCTTGCTGTAGTGCTAGTCTGAATCTTTTACATTATGATCTCTAGGAGGCATAAGAAAGCCAACTCCTGCTTCTAGTTGTCATGCCTGCAGATGCTGACCAAAGTCGCTACGTTAAAATCGATTAGATCATTATAGGGGATAGGTGGATGATCATGTTCATATTTCATGTGTTTCTAAATGCAAAAACTTTGAGGTGAAGGTTGGCAAAACCTCCATAAATTGCCTATCTTTTGGGATTTATGATCTATATAACTTACTTGAAACGCCATATTTTGTTGCAGGAGTCTGAGATTGAGTTTAGATATTCTCTTGCCAAGAAAATGGTAAGGAGTCACGCTTGATCAGTATTCTTATATCTAAAAACATGCTTCGGTGTTAAATCCAACATTGATACAATCAACTGTTGAGAAAAACCACAGATTGGAAAATTTTCCCTGAACCTTCACTTGCGAAATTGCGAGAAGTATAGGTTTTAGATGATTAAAACAAACTTCATAGTCTGAATTTGTGTTAGAACATTTCTGACCTTCTTTGGTTTATATATTCTAGAGAGCTGTTGAAGGTCCTTCCTTTTCGGAATCTCTGGTTCCTGGGACTGATGGTACTCCAACTAGTTTGGCTATTCTGCCTTCTGCTGATAGAGAGTGTCTGCCTTGTCTCGTGAAGGTCAGGATTTGATTTCTTGTAAATTGTTATGCATTAACATGCACATACAGATCACATGAAAAAAAGACAATTGAGAACACCCTAATGTGGCTTTGTAGATTTATGATTCGCCAGAGGCAGATCTGAAGCTCAACGATGTGGTTGAATTTGTCGGGGTGCTAACTTTTGATCCAAACATGGTATCAGGTAGAGATGCTCACGATGAATTGTCGGAAGGTCTTGAAGCTGACATGGTTCAGTTGCCCCCTGGAAAGGTAGCAACATTCACCTAGATGTTTCCAGTTATCCGTATGAAAATTCATCGTGAGCCAACATATATTGACAGTTACTAACGCTGCTTTTGTTTTGTTAAGGTTCCACGTCTCCACAGTCTTGTCCACAGGAAGCTTGAAGCCCAACATTTCCTCTCTGCTCCTTCCTTAATAGAGGCAAGTGTTCAGTTAGTGTTTTTGGCTGTCACGAATTCCTCGTAGTCCTGCCTTGTTTCTGAATGCTCTTGTTAATTTGATCTGGCAGCCAAAATCTCCGAAAATGTTCAAAGAGATAAGAGAGAGTTTGATGAAGTACCTCACAGGATTGCTCGGGAATGATGACATTGCAGCTCAGTTTGTGTTGTTGCATCTCCTATCGAAGGTACTTGGCTAAATAGGAGCGTTTGATTCTTTTTTATTGCCTGTTTCTGTCAATCTCCAGAGCTACAGAGTGATAAGTGTCCCACATTGGAAAATGAGAGGGATTTGGGCCAATATATAAGTAAGGGTCAAACCTCGACTCTTAAGCTAGCTTTTGTGGTGGAGTTAGGGCCTAAATCTTATTACAGAGACTAGCAAGTTACATTTTGTTTGGAATCTGATGGTTTGTTCTAATGTTGTCCCATTTGACTAGGTGCATGGTAGAGTAGATGATGTTGTTGTGGGTAAGCTTTCACTTAATCTTACGGGACTGAATAAAGAAAGCATGTCCATCTTCGGCACTCGACTTAATCACGCCCTCAAGAGTCTGCTGCCATTCACACAGTCTATACCACTTACCATCGAGTATCTAAACACTATCTCACTTGCCCCCAAGAAAGATTACCAAATAAACAGGCAAGATCCATCTCTATTGTGTTGGAAATGTCTTCCGATTTTTTACATCTGTGTTACATCTTCCTGCTTCTGCATGTTGTTTGAAATTATTATTGTGTATGACCCAGATTGGTGCCTGGTGCTCTACAACTTGCTGATGGCACACACTTGACATTTGATGAAACCCAGTTGCAATCTGGCACTTTGAACTCTGTCGGGGTCGAGAATGCAAGATTGCTGAAAAATTTATTGGAATATCAGAAGGTAATGTCATTTTCAACATCAGAACCTGAGAACGGGCCAATGGTCTCCCGGAGTTTTCACTTCATCAACCTCTAATATGAATTTGACATCAGCTGTTACAGTTGGAGTATGATTTCCAGTACTATAAAATGGAAATGTCAGCTGATGTTCAAGTGCTCATCTTCTCCAAGGGGAAGTCAAACACTATGCCGGCTGATTTGGTTGTACCTTTTCAACCCTCCGAAGCAAATTCCTTTGAATCCGTCGCCCCAGAGGCTGCAGAAACTTGGAGATGGTACTTAGCAACCTGTAGAACGTTACCATACTCAATAGGACAGGAAATTCAGCAGGTACTACACATGTTAAAAGCCGAATCTGAACTTCTCGTGTCTTTATAAGTTAGGGTTGTCTTTGAAGAAAAATGCTCTGTTTCACATTGTGTTTGAACATGGTTGTATCCGATACATTACAGGTGGTGGAGAACGATTTGGTTGCCGTGAGGCAAGCTGATCGTAGTTTAGGCAGCCAAGACTTAAGCAGGTAAGGAAGACAGTTTTTTTCCATCGGTTTCTCATCATCTAAGCACATGCCGGTCTTCGGATCTGATCAAACGCAACAAATTTGATTGTCTTTTTTTCAGATTATTGACGATGGCTCGTTTGATGTCCGCAAGTTTCGGAGAGACAACCCTTTCGCTAGAGCACTGGCAAATGGTGCTGGAACTGGAAAGACTTGGAAGGGAAAGACTCAAATTGAACCTTTAATGTAATCTCAAAAGAGTTGCCATAGATATGATTTCAATGTATTATAGGTATCTGTTGTAAAAAGAAAAAACATGATTGAAATCCTAAACACTTATATATATTTCTATTCTGCGATCCAGTTTGACAACAAAAAAAGCTACAAGTAGACTGACTTCTGTACCGAAATAAGCTCTGGTTTACATATGGGATTTCAACAGGTTTGCTAAAGGGCAGAACCCGGAGTTGTTGACAGCATCATGAAAGATCTGTGGCCTCGGACAGGGAAGAAAGGTCTCGAACGCCTCTGGCCTCGTCGCCATTTGCAGCTCTGTCTCATGATCATTACATTCTTCCACGTCTGCTTTCTTCTCCTTCTCGCCTTCCTCTCCGGTGATGAACTTATGCTTCAACAGATCAGAAACAGTTCCTCTCTCTTCCGGGTTTCTTGCGAGACAAGTCTCCAAGAACTCCCTCGCATCCCGAGGCAGATTCTCGGGGATTTCGGGTGCGTCTCCCTTCCTCAAAGCTTCTTTGATCTTCTCTTCCTCGTTCTCGTCGAAGGGCCAGGGCAGTTCTCCCGTTAACATCTCAAAAACGACGCAGCCCATCGACCATATATCGAGGGCTTTTCCGATTTTTCCCTCGTTCACCGACTCTGGCGACATGTATACAGGATCTCCCCAGAACGGAGAGCCCTCCTTCCACCAGTCGTCTTCGTCTCCGACTTCCCTTGAAATCCCGAAATCTGCGATCTTAACCTCGTACGATGCGCTCGAATCTCCATCTCCACTTGGGAAAACGAGGATGTTGCCGGGTTTAAGGTCGCAATGGACAAACCCATTTCCGTGGAGGGAGACAAGACCTTCAAGAATCATGCGGGAGAACTGTCTGGTCATCTGGACAGGCATTCTCCGACCATCGAACTCGCCCATGAGATCGTCGAGTGTCCCTCCCTCCGCGTACTCCAAGAAGAGCCTGTAAATCTTGAACCCTAACCTGGTGGAGTCCACGTGTAACTCGTCGTTGAAGCTCTGTACGATTCCGCGACAGCCTCGGAGTTTGGAAAGAATCCGAATCTCTTTGTGGAGATAGTCGTAGTTCCACGCGTGGCTGCTCTTCCTCGCCACGTGGACGAAGGAGCCGTCGTCGGAGTTTGCGAACTTGACGAGATCGACTTCTCCGAAAGAACCCTTCCCCAGCTTCTTCACGACCTCCATCTCTCTCCGTTCAACAACTGATCGGCGATCTTGATTCTTTGTTTTCTTTTTCTTTTCTTCTTTATTTATACTGCTTCGAAGCTTGGGATACATCAGAGAAAAGGAAACTTACGTAAATCCCCTTCTCTAATTATTTGTAAAAATAATTTGGAAAAAATGGAAAAAAAAACTATTTTCAAATTTTAAACATCTGAAGATGCCTTTTTTTTCCACGAAACGAAAAAAATTCAGTTTTATTAGAGAATAGAATCTCAAAATTATCATGGATATTAATTATTTTAAACATATGTGAGTATATTAACTAGTTAAATTTTTCGTATAAATATATAAATTCAAAATTCTTTCGGATTACCGCTAGAAAATAGTAAAAACGTTAAGTTAACATTTGGAATATCTATATTCTAAAAATAATAACAATTAATAACATATTCAAATTTATCACATCTCAAAAGTTTATAGTATATTAATTTACACGAAAGTTTCCTTTCTTATACTGCTCCGAAGCTTGGGGCTCAAGGGACTTAATTGTGTAGTTTAAGTGGGAGGAAGGTACATAACAAAAGGAAACTCACGTAAATATCCTAATTTAATTATTTGTAAAATAATTTGGCAAAAAAATAAAAAAAATTGCCTTTTTTTTCGGAACAAAAAATTGTCAGTTTTATTGGAGAATGGAAACTCAAAATTATCATAGATATTGCCATTTTAAGAGAAAAATATATGAAGTTGTACAAAGGAAACTAAAACTCCTATAAAAAAATAAATGAAGGTTAATTGTAAAAAATTTCAGATTAATCTCGGATTTTTAAATATGTAAATACATTAACTGTTTTATTTGTTTTTATAAAAATACAAATTTCTAAATTCTTGGATTACCTTCAGAATTATAAAACATTAAATGAACATTTGAGATATCTATATTTTAAAAGAAATGACCATTAATAACATATATTTAAAGTTATTATTATATGGTGGGAATTCAACCGCATTTGGAAAGTTTAGATATTTAAATGAAAATTCCAAATAACACAGATTATAAGTCACGAATAACACTAATTTGAGAAGATAAATTATTTAGACTTTCGTTTTGTCACAAGGTTTAGTTATGAACCCACTATATATATATATATATATATATATATAAAATAACAGCATTTGGGTGCAGAAAATATATAATTTGTGAAAACTATAGATTATAAGAACAAAATTTTCAATAGTAGTAAAGACAAGAGCAGCCTTTGTACAGAAATCAACTGTCATAACAAAAAGAATTACGACTTTAACATCGATCAGAAAGAGATTACCATGAAACCGATTTAGAATCGCATCGGGTTAACCAAAGCCAAAGCGACGAGAACACGGTTTACTTGTGGTACAAGAAAAGGGTTGAGAAGGCGTTGGGGTTTTGGTGAATGTCGTTGTTTATAGATTTTGTTTAAGATTAGATAAAGATAGAATTTTAAATTATTTATTTTTATTATCAATAAATTTTAAAATAAATAAATGGAAGTAAAGAATTTAAAAACCTGTCGTATAAACATTATTAGAAATATAATTAGATAATATATAATTTATATTTATGAAGAGTTATGATAATTTTTATTTATTTGTTATAGAAATACCAATAGTTTTATAATGAAAAATAAATAAATATGGGGTCTTAGTGATGATGAGATGCTCGTTGAGAAGAGAATTGCATGTAAACCCTTTTAACATGAATTTGGACAATTATATATGATGCACTAACACGTATTTCAAAACACGTGTCATATTGATAGTAGTCTGAAATTGAAGAAGAATACACTTGAAAGAATTGAACTTTTCCCTTACATAAAAAGAAAAAAACAAACAAACCCTAAAACCCAAAACTAGAATGACGACGAGCCACCATCGCTCTGTCACATGGGAATTTGAGACGCTACTTTGGCGACAAAGGGATGATCCATCAGCCTCTCCGTGGTCCACCGCTCGAACGGATGCAGCTTCATGCATTTGCTGACGAAATCCTTGGCCTCCGCCGAGATATTTTCCGGTACCTCCCACCGGTAGAAACCTCCGCCATCAGCGTCCTCCACCGGCGCCTCGCTAAGACCGATCATCTCAATTACCAGACAGCCTAGAGACCAGATGTCCAGATCGGGACCGATCTTTCCACTCGGTCCTATCGACTCAGGCGACATGTACGGAGCCGTTCCCCTGTACTTCCTCTTGTGCGAGAAACTAGATTCGCCCGGCTCTCTCGCCAACCCGAAATCACAAATCTTCACCTCATATATCTCTCCCGATGCTTCTGAGCAAAACACGAGTATGTTCGTCGACTTGAGATCGCAATGGACGTACCCCTTCCCGTGAAGGGCCTTGAGTCCTCGGAGAATCATAAGCGTGCAACGCCTGACGTCATTTTCCGACAATTTCCAATCCCTTCCCTCCAAAATGTCCGATAGAGTTCCTTTTGGTGCATACTCTGTAAGAACTAAACTTAGAAAAATGATAATAAACAGAACATTAATTTCTGATATTTGCTTTTATATTTTTGCTGAAAAAAACATAAGAGAGAAGATGAAGTTTCTCCATGAAAACCTTACTTTATTTATTTGTTTTTCTGATATTTATAGAAATACAATAATCATAACTAAACCCTACGTACATGGAACACGTAGAAGAGTGGTTTAATAATCCAAAGACTAAGTCTCCTAAAAACTAGAAACCAAAAATCTAAACACAAGACTTATTCAAAGTGTATAACCAAAATATGACCGCAACTAACCAAACTATAATTAACTAAGAAAAACAAAACCCGACTCCGACAAGATTAAACCCAACATACTCGAGATAGATACTGCAGATTCGGACATCGTCTCCGATGGATTCGAACTCCAGAGAAGGGCTGTAGCATCTGACGATGTTTGGGACATGACTAAACTTGTTTAAGATCCTGAGTTCCTTGCGAAGAAACTCTTCGGCCATGCTCATGGCGAAGGTTGTCTTCTTCGCAAAGTACGATCGATCGTTCACCTTCACGAGCGAGACGATCCCGCAGCTCCCTTCTCCGATAACACGAACGGTCTGCATTGTTACTTCTTCCGGCAAGCACGGAACTTGCAAGTCGCATCTCTTCCTTGTCGGTTCATAACTCTGATTACGCAGAACCTGCATCATCTTCTCCATGTCTTCTTTCGTCCACAGCTGCTGGAAACTTCCTTTGATCTGTTGTCCGTCTCTGTACTTGTGTAGGGCTGTGTCTTTTATAGAGCGAGATCTAGGTTCTGTATGACGTGGAACACGTGTTTGTTAAGTCATTAATCATAATGGAACCTGGATTTCTTGTTTTTATTCTTATTTATCTTAAAATAAAACGTGCGACGGTAGAAAGGAAAAAGAGGTTATCTTGTCTTCCTTTTATTTTTTTCCTTTTTTATTTGTGTCTATCATTTATTTTATTTTTAAAATTTTCCGAGTAAAAAGGGAACTTGTACATGCATGTTTACTTAACTATTTTTCCATTAAATTCTAAATGAATAATATTTTTATTTTATTTATTTTAAACGTCTTAATTAGTAACCCATAACTCTGAATAATCGACAAATAGATAACAACAAAAAGGATGCTTAAAAACGATTCAAATCCCAAATCAAGAACACGAAAGATTCATGTTCATCTTTTAGTATCTGAGCCCTTTAGCAACCTCAAAGAAGTGAGCAACATTGTCTTCAGGGGTACCGACTTTGATGCCATGTCCGAGATTCAGAATGTGTTTGCCTCTCCCGGCTTTCCTCACCGTGTCGTGAATCCGACTCGTGATGAACTCTCTCGACCCGAAAAGCACACCCGGGTCCACGTTCCCCTGAACCGCCATGTCTCTTCCGAGCCGGTTCCTTCCTTCAGCCATATCCACCGTCCAGTCCAAGCTCACCACGTCTACCCCAGTTTGAGCCAGCCTCTCGAGCAATCCTCCCGACCCGCTGGCGTAAAGTATGAGAGGGAGTTTCGGGTGAGTTTGTTTCACCGAGTTCACGATCTCTTTCAGGTAAGGCAAGCTGAACTCCTCGAAGTCCACGGGGCTTAGCTCGGTGGCCCATGAATCGAAGATCTGAACTGCTTGAGCCCCGGAATCTGCTTGGTATCGTATGTACTTTATCATCGAGGCTGTGAATTTCTGAAGCAACGCGTGTAGAACCTGGAGAAGAAAGGAATGAATGTTCATATATGTATGACAGATGGATGCAGCAATGGCAATGCCAATTGAGAAATTTGCATCACCTTTGGTTGAGAGAAAGCTAATCTCTTGATTTTCGTGAAGTTCTTGGACGAACCGCCTTCTACGACGTATGATGAAAGTGTAAAAGGAGCGCCTACGAAACCCAACACCGCAGCTTCATTCCCCACCTGTAACGAAATCCATTCTCAGATTAAAAACAATGAATTAGGCTTTGAACAGGAACTCCATCATAGCAGCACGGGAAGAACCTCGTTTCTTAATATTCTGAGTGCTTCCCCGACGTATGGAACAGATTCTTCTGGTATGAATTCTCTAACTTGATCCACATCAGCAGCTGTCTCAGGCGGATTGAAAATAATGGGACCCTTTCCTTTCACGATGTCGAAAGGTATGTTCATTCCAGACAAGGGAGTGAGAATGTCTGAGAACAAAATCACCTTTCGACATTTAACAACAGACATTTCAACCGATTAGATATACTGCCAAGTTTGGGCTTTGTTCACAGAGAAAAAGTATTGGTAGACGACTAGACGAAAGTAGATCTTTACCCCGTCCGGTTTAAACACCTTCCATGGCTGCAGAGAAATTTCCACCACGAGATCGACATTCTCCGACCTCTCCCGGAAGAGAGGGTACTTCTCACAGAGGGTTTGATAACTCTGCAGTGAAATCGGCATTAAGGCCACCGAAATTCGTATGAACAAAACAGAACACATTAACACATTGTACCAAAGAAGTGCAAACCTGCCTTCATGTACCTCCCAGCTTGTCTCATGAGCCAAACTGGAGGTCTATCAACATCTTCACCCCTAACAGCGCTCAGTAGAAGAGGCTCGGCCGTTGATGAAACTTCACAGTCCGCTACAGTTCCTAGAGAAGAGCTTCCTACAGAAACATACAAAAATTCCATTAAATTCCCTAACGTGAAGAAGCTGAGAATGGCTCCATATACCAGAAGAAGGAAAATGAAATTCTACAGATTTCCATTTGGCAGGGCAAACACTATCCATCTATTAACACACCACGACTATCGAGCATTTCCAGATAACCCAAATATGTTAAAAGGGGCTATTTTTTCAACCTGGCTTAGGGCTATTGAGCCATTGCTCAGCAAAACTCGTACATGCTAATTTCTACTACAGATTTGCGGATACAGAGCAATCCGACACAGATTCTGTCAAATCGTGAAGAACCCATCAAATTCTATCCTGTTAAAGCAAGGAAAACAATGAAATTCAAGCATTACAACAGCAACCCTAACTTGCTTCTCCCTGCCCAAAATGAGCAAAATTTTCTCCTAAACTTGAGTGAAATTGACCAGATTAAGCAAAAAATTCCTGGCTTTCTCGATACCCATTCGAAATATAGCGAAATATTGATAAGAATTTACGGAAAGAAGGACAAAATTAAGGCACAGAATCGCATACCGCCGACAGAACAGCGAATCAGACGGGGCTTCTGATACGAGAGCGATTTCCTCGGAGAAATCGAGAGAGTGTTGAAGGAAGAAACCGAAGAGGCGTGGGCTTGAAGGATCTGCATCCTCTCTGATTGCAGAGAAATTTTTCTGGGCTATGCAACTCTTCCACGGGACCTTAGCATATCAGTATTTCAACGCATAGAACAACAACAACATGCTTCGGCACTTTGGTTGGGTTGACGAAGATAAGAGGATGATAAGAGTATCTACTGACGTGTCACTAACCATGCCTAGTCAGCTTTTACCGCATACTAGTGTGATTAGAGAACAACTACATAATTACAAGACTAAAATATCTAAAAATATTTTGTACTAACTTTTTATAATATAGAACTTTTTTTCTAAGATGACAAATATAATTTATAATTAATTACTATGAAAGAATAATTAATTAAGACAAAGTAATTTATTAAAAAACAGTATACGAAAGCGTAAAAAATTAAGGCTTTGAATGGAGATGGCTTTTATTTTGGGTTTTTGGTTTTAGTTTTTGGATTTTGGTTTTTAGTTTTTGGTTTTTGGCTTTTGGATTTTATAATATTTGAAAACTCAAAAAAAGTAGCTTTTGGTTTTTCATTGATTTTTTCACTAAAATGGCTTTCCAAGTTTTTAGGAAAAGTAATTTTGTAAAAATTTGAATGTTGTTTTTTTTTGTTTTTAGATTCTAAAAACTCCAAAAACTCCTACCATTCAAGGCCAAGTGGTGTTATTTTCATGTGAATTGTCTTGTTTTAAATATAAATTATGAAAATTTTATAATATAAAAACAATTGTTATATTCATTAAATTCGTGATTTTTTCCATTTAATTTATTTTCAATATTAATATTTATCTCTAAATTATAAATAAGGCGCAATATGTATTTTAATAAAATATAATTGTTTTATTAATACATAGATAACTAACACAACTATTTCATAGAGAAAATTTGCTCCTGTGGCAAATATGTCATATCATTGGAAATCTATATTTTTTTTTCTTTTCTTTGCAAACTATACCTTTATATAATTTTTTAACAAAAATATCCTTACTTTATTGTCTAATTTCAATATTGTCATTTAGCGTCCCGAAAAATGTGTAGCATAAAAAACAATTTTTTTTGAAAACTATATTTTCCGTGAAAACTGTTTTTTCATCCATGATAACTGTTTTTCATCGAGAGAATCTGTTTTCATCTGGGAGAACTATTTTTTATCCGGAAAAACTGTTTTCCATCCGGACAAAAAACAATTCTCCTGGACAAAAAACAGACTCTTCCAGACGAAAAACAGCTCTCTCGGACAAAATACAATTCTTCCAAACAAAAAAGATACTCTTCCGGATAAAAAAATAGTTCCCCCGAACAAAAACAGACTCTCCCGGATAAAAAAATAGATTTTCTGGATAAAAAACAATTCTCTCGGATAAAAAATAGACTCTCTCAGACGAAAAACAACTCTCCCGGATGAAAACAAGTTCTCTCGGATGAAAGACAGTTCTCCCGGATAACACAGTTTCTAAAAAAATCTGTTTATCACGCTGAACATTTTTCGGTACGCTAAATGACAATATTGAAATGAGAAAATTAGCGCTAGTGTGCCAAAAAAAGGTCTTTGTAAAGTATACTTTTTTTTTTATCAATCTTTGCATTGTATACTTTTTTAAGTTTAAAATGACCTGCATACCCTTGCTGGTACAACGAAAGTGACAAAAATACCCTGCAACCGAAGTGGGAGGGAAACGGGAAAAATGGAGGAAAAATATCAGAAAAACTTAACAAAAACAAAAAAAAATTACTACACTCTAATCAGTATCGCATGTCGCATAGCTTGTAAGTATTTTTTCCTTTAATTAAAATTAAAAATACTACTCACCTGCGGGGAAGAACTGCGGAAAAAGTAATTAGTATCGCATGTGTTAGATAGTTCTTAAGAATTGCACCGTTCAACACAGGTCCAGGTTTGAAACCTTCAGAACAACAAGCAAATCCATAACATAACACAAAGTAAATTAGATAGAAAAGAACGACAATTTCAGTTAACCCTTCATGGGATTGTAATCCCACTCATGGTAAGTTGCTATAGTTGTAGAGACGGACGTAGTTATCGTTAATTAGATGGTCGTATTTGTATTATGTTCGTAGTGAATCGCGGTCGTAATTATCGTTAACTATCTGAACGTATTTGCATTATGTTCGTAGTATAATGTGCACTAGGCAAGTGCAACATGCGGCGAGGTCAGGGAACCAGTCTAACAACCTGTGGGCATGTGTAATAGAGGAAACAAACAAGGTACGCGAAATTGAAAAAAGCACAAGAGAGCATTGATGGAAGCACACGAACAAAGACGAAGTAACTTCGGTGGTGGAAGCAACACCTTCTACCGACCACATAACGATATATTTTGGGTCGTAGCCATAAGGTTTGGGAACAAGATACACTTGTGAGATGCTTGAATCGAGTCGTAACTGAAACAATATTATTCGGAGTGAAACAATATTGTCAATCATTCATAACGATACAGTTGAGATGGTCGCAGCGGGATCACATGGGTCGTATCGATATATATCGGGTCGTAGCCATACATTTTATAAAAAAATACCACTACAAAAATACAATCCATATGCGACGGAAACATCCGTCGCACAACGAATAAATATCCGTCGCAACACATTGTTTGCGACGGATAACGACGGGTACAAATCCGTCGGTACAGAGCTGTCGCAAATTTCTTTCAGTCGGTTAACCGTCGCACAATTACGACGGACAATTCCGTCGTATTCCGTCGTTAATTTTACCGACGGATATAAAACCGTCATAGACCGTCGCGTTTATGTTTGTCGCACATTCCGACAGACTTATCCGTAGCAAACGTTACCGACGGAATCTATCCGTCGTTTATGCGTCGCTTTCTTGATTTCCGAACGTAACGACGGATTACGGTCCGTCGCAATTAACTGCGACGGATTACGACAGATTATATCCGTCGCAACATTTGTAAAAGTAATTAAAAAAAAAACAAAAAATTTATAATTAATTTAAATATTTTAAAAATTAATTTTAAAAACAAATTCATAAATTAGAAATACGAATTAATTAAAAACAAAACAAGATTCATAATTCAGAAAAAGTATAATACAATAATTTAGAAAGAGTTATAATACAAATACATCTACGGATCTACCGGTGCATCGTTGTCGAGATTGGTGGGTGCGTCCTCTGGATCGTCCTCAGGAGCATCTGGCTGCCGAGATGTCGTCGGAAAGCCATACTGGTCGAATATAGGCGGCATGAACGGTGTGAGGCGCTGCATCATCTCCTCGAAGCGTACGATCCTCGCTTCGGTCTCGGAGAGCTTCTGTAGCTTCTCCCGATGTTGCTCGAACTCCTCGATCTTCGCCCGGGCCTCTGCCAGTTCTGCAATCGTCCGCTCTTGGGAGCGTTTCAACTCTTCCACTTCACGCGTTAGCGCGACATGGTGAGTAATTGCCGGAGCAGAAGTTTCTCCCCCGCCCAGTTGAGATGCCAAGGTGCCGACACCATAGATACGACCCTTGGCATCCGGATGGACAACCTATACAATGATAGAAAAATTAGCATACAATCATATATTTTTAAAATTCAAAACTATTAATTTTATAAATATTTACCTCTAGATATAGGCTGTTAACTTCGGTTGTCGAGAGTTGTGTAGAAGTAGTACTCTCGTCCATCTGGGAGACTTTATCGTCGATCTTGGACTGCACCAACTCCTCGATTTGCTGGACCCGCTCATTCACATATGTACCGTCCGATCGACGGTGTGTGTCCTGAAGAACTCGTAGAACCGACGGTTCTACACCTTCTTTTTGAGCCTAAAAACAAAATAATTATAACTACTAAATTTTTTAAATAAATATAATTATTAATATAAAAGTTACTTACTATATCCATTGCGACTCTGGCGAAAGATCTTCTACCCGCGGTATGAGTTGCTAGTGCGCGGTCCCCCACAGATCGAGACCGTCGGTTGGCTGAGGCGACCCGACTCTTCTCTGCTGCATCATCTGAGTCCCAGTGAGCCAGGAGAAGGCTCCAAACACACTCGCTCATCCACAAATGGCTTGTTTCGACTTTGACCCGACCGATAGATCGCATCCCGGAGTCGGTTAGCCAACACTTCCTTCCAAACGGCATAAACCATGTCGTGGTGGCGCTCCTCCCAATAAAAAGCTTGCTGCAATAAAAAAAATTGATGTTAATAAAACAAGAAATGAAATTAAAAGAATAGTTTGAATTTGAAAACTTACCGCAAATGCACAAAACCAACGCTCCAGAGTCGCTGGAGGGACACGAGTGATACTGAGCCAAGGACCCTGAAAATCACTCTGGAAGATGCTTACAATTGTCTTCCGTATCTGGGACTGACGACCGAACCTATGCGAGTATATAAATATACTTAGTTATATAAATGTAAACGTTAATATAAAATTTAGAAATGAATTGTTACAATGTTCCTTACCATAAAGTACCGTTGGTTAGCTCTGGGCTAAGGTGCGGTCTCGTCGTACGACGATCCTCGGATGCAATGATTTCTCGGAGTGATACTGATGAATCACGCGAACAACCTTCATGTGAAGGTTGCTGTGTGGATTGACCCGTGAAAGGTTGATCCAAACGAGGTGTGGGTATTGGGGGCTGCTGAGAAGTAGGGGTAGAAGGACTAGAAACACCGGATCCTCGTCCGCGAGATCGGACTCCGCTACCCGATCTACTCCCGTAACGTGACTGACTCATCTAAATATAGAAATTCTAAACCCTTTAAACCGTAAATCGTATAAAAGAGAATTGAAACCCTAATCTGAAACTCTAAAAATGTAACCCTAAACCCTAAACCCCAAACGAAACCCTAAACCCCAAACGAAACCCTAAACCCCAAATGAAACCCTAAACCCCAAATGAAACCATAATTCCTAAATTGATAATTAGAACCCTAATACCGAATCTAAACCCTAAACCCTAAACCCTAAAATCAGAAACCCTAAACCCCAAACAAAACCCTAAACCCCAAATGAAACCCTAAACCCCAAACGAAACCCTAAACCCCAAATGAAACCCTAAACCCCAAATGAAACCATAATCCCTAAATTGATAATTGGAACCCTAATACCGAATCTAAACCACTAAACCCTAAACCC